GCTTTTTGGCACTGTGTCCCACCTGAGGACCATCTTTCTTTCCATCCTCCCCAGGGAAGACAGTGGCTGGGCCAAAAGAACGTAGGTGGGTAAACACAGGAGATGTTTAATAATTTGCCCAAACTGTGTATGGTCAAAAAGGTTTGGGCATGGAATGAGGGGAAGAGAGTGGCTTCAAGTTCATGGAACAGGAGGCCTTTCTAACAGAATAAATAACTCAGGTGGACTGGCAGCTAAGGAAAGATCAGGCACCAAGGAGGCCACACCAGATGGGGCCAGGACAGACAGTGGGGCTTGTCTCTACTTATCTTCTCCTGCCTCGTAACTCCCAAAGGACCCTAAGTAAGTTGTGTTAGTTTGTTTCCTCACCTATAAAATGGGGATAGTGATGGCTGCTTCACTCAACTGCATGAAGGATTAAATTAAATGAGATCATGCCAGCAAAAGTGTGCGAGCATGAGTTCAGTGTTATGCCACGTCCTCTTCCAACCACGCTGTCTGACAAGGTCCGGGTATGGACGACTCGAGTTCAAGGAATTCGTCTTCCCGGAGGAGAATGTGGCATCCAAAATAGGTTAACAATTGGTTGTTTTATTTTAATTATTTTACTCTTTCTACTGAATACAGACATTGTACTGTACTTACTTATTCCTGTGAAAATCACCCAAGAGGAGGGGACGGTTCAGGTGAAAACATTAGTATTTCCCACAGAACTGCCTGAAAGGATGGAAAAATCCCCACAGATTCCCCTCTCCCTTATACAGGGGTGTACGACAGCCAGGGTAATATAATTATTAACCATAAGGGAAAGCACGTCAAGTTGTATAAATTACCCTGGTTTGAGCAACTTAAAGTGATCAGGACCACCATGGTGTACCAGAAATAAGAAAAACAAGTTAGATCTCTTAAATCAACAGTTAAGGCCATTAATAAAGAACCAGGTTATTGTTGCAAACACAGGTTGTGCTGCCAACAGTTGAGGGAAGAACAGATCAGAAAGACTTTCCCACAACTGTTCCTCACCCACAGATACAAAGCGTCTTCCAAGAAAACAAGTAAAAACTATATAGACCCCTACCCACAGCCCAGGGATACGGTCGGGACAGTTGAGATGCATCTGCAAGGCAGAGGCTGGATTTTCTCCTTACATGTTTGTTTCGGTGATCAAAAGGTGGTGGGATTGTTAGACACTTGTATTTCAGGTTCAGGTTGATTAGCATAATTCCAATGAAGTTATACGAAATAATTTCTTGACAAGAGAACAAAATCCCCTCTAATGAAATAGCTCCTGAATGTCTAAAAGTTGTTGGAGTAACAGCCCCTCCTTTACCTTGAACAAGAATATATATTAATTAGAATTAAGCAGGCAAAGAAACAGGAAAAGCTTGTTAGATACCACAAACTAAACACGTAGAAACAATTACTAAGGAGTTAGAGTCCATAGTACACAGAGAAACATTTTGGACAGAAAGATAGCTAAGTTAGACATCACAAAGGCCTTATAACAAATCTCCTAACCTCTGCTCGGTCTAGCATACATTTTGCCCCATGCCAAATTCTAAGACCTTGAATAAACAATAAGACATTCAAACTCTGTACACATTGAGCTATTTCAAATTGTCTGACTAATGGCTTTCCTGGTCAAACAACTTTTGTTTAACATAACTGAAACTATGGAAATTCTTGTATTTTTCCTGGTTACCTTTGTATTGATTTTTTCTGCTTTAACTGATCCTGCTATACTGCAAATGTTAATCACTACCTAAAATGAAAATATTAAAAACTTGCTTGTAATTGCAATAAATGGAAGAGCTTCACTGTCCTTTGAGGTGTGTTGTCGTCTGTTACCCATCGCCAACTCCTTACCCACCTTTGGGAATCCCTGGACCCTGCCGTGGCTGGTCTGTGGCAGTGTTACTGTCAATGTGAGACAGTAACATGCGGCCGCCTGCCCCCCTCCTCTAGAGGAACAAAAAGGCTGTGGAGCAGAGCTGCCTCCCCTTCAGTCCTTTCTTTCTGGCAATTGGCATAACCAAGGGGGAGCTCTACACTAATCAGCTAACTGGGTCTCATGCCTGCTGCTGGCTTAATAAAGTCTACCAGACCACCTTTCAAAGTCCTCTCAAGGACATCAGGATGATGTACTATGACAGTGGTCCTGAGTAATGTGCCTGCTACCACCATGATGCACTGGTTCACCCTACCAGGGATGCATGTATTGGCTGCTGTGCAGCTGGCCACCGAGCCATCAACTGAGTCAGGACTTGCATCTGTGGTCATGACTCAAACCTGTGTGGCCTTCTATTGATCAGAACTGTCTCCCTAGGTGATGACAAAGGATGACAACTCTGAAAGAGAAAGCTCTACCCTCCTTTTCTGGCTTGTCTTACATTTACAGTTTAGTAGGTGAATGTCATACTCTCTTACTCCCCAAGGATCTAGCCTATGTTGGCCTCTCTCAGAAGATAAAGTCATGTGTCTGCTCAACTGTCTGCTTCTTGGTGGTTAAGGGTCAGGTTCTGTCCCTTGTCTGTAGTTCCTGCAACTCCCTACACAGTGAACTCTCATATCAATTCTCACCACTCAACCTCACAGAACGCACAAATATTCCCTTCTCACTCCTCACTCCCTCCATCCAGTTCCTCTAGACTCCAATGATATGTCTCATGAACCACAACCAACCATTTCTTTTGTCTATTCATTCAGACATTTACCTAATGTCTTTTATGTGGGGCGGGTAAAATGGAAGCATCTTTATTCTCAGGAAGCTCACACCAAAACTATGCAGGGAGCAGAGCCCTAGAGGTTTGCAGAGTTGGGATGAGATATGATTCTTGCCTTAAAGATCTTTATGCTTTGGGCTGGTGAAGACCAAGAGTTGAGAGGACCCTCAGTGTAGTGTAACCCCCGCCCCTCAAAGCTCTGAACCAGACACTCCATCCATGCCCACCACCCACTTAGTGATCAGTTTCAGTAATGCCACTGGGCATGTTCTTGCTCCAGTAAGTGGGCTGGCTTGGCTCTGTACTGGGCTAAGTTGCAAAAAACCAAGTTCCTGCTTTGACAGGTTATGGCTAAATTGAGCAAAAGTAATTTCTTCAGGTGTGTGTATGTATCACATTTCATATCTCTGACTTCTTGCCTGCACCCCAGGTTCAAATATCACACTGCATACTTGACATTTCCCCTTGGAAGTAAGTGCAATCAGCATCTCAAGTTTAACGTGTCTAACACTAAACTCAAGATGTTTTTTCCATACCCCACCTATTCCTCATCTAGTGTTTCCCATCTTAGTAGATGGTACCACCTTCCACCTAGTTGCTCAGGCCAAAAAAACCTAGGCGTTAGCCTTGGTTCCCCTCTCTTTACCCATATCCAATATATCAGCAAGTTCTGTGATGCACCCTTTCCATTGCAACCCAAATGCAGCCCACTCCATCTGTGCTGCCAACCTCATTTAAGTCATCTCCTTTTCTTGCCTGAACTACCATGATGGCCTTTTCTTGTCTCGTTTTATTCCTGTCCCTTGTAATCCATTCACCACATACAACCAGAGTAGTCATTTTTAAAGAGTAAATTAGGTCATCAATCCCCTGACTAAATATCAATCCCCTGACTAAAACACCGAATGGCTTTTCACTGGCCTTATGATAAAATCTAACTCCCAACCAGTGCCTATGACCCAACTGTGCCTGGTTCCTCTATCCTCTTCTGACCTCAGTTCTTAGCAAACTCCATTTCCTGAACTACTCTCCAGTCACTATTGCTTCTTTCTGTCCTCTAACATGTCAACTGGCTTCCTGCCTCAGGACCTTTGCACTACATGAAATGCCTTTCCCACCAAACATACACTGTTGACTACTCTTTCCTTAGGTTTCATCTATGTGTCACCTCCTCAGTATGGCCTTACCTATCGTAACTAATATTACCCCTTTATTACTCTATTTTACATCCATCACAGTACAGCTGACCCTTGAAAACCACAGGTCTGAACTGCATGGGTCCACTTATACACAGATTTTTTTCAATAAATACGTACAGTACCGTAAGTGTATTTTCTCTTATGACTTTTTCTTTTATCTAGCTTACTTTATTGTAAGAACACAATACATAATACATAACATAGACAAAACTATGTACATATATCTATGCTACATATAGACAAAATATGTTATGTTATCAGTAAGGCTTCTGGGCAACAGTAAGCTACTAGTAGTAGTTTTTTTAGGGCGGGGCCAAAAGCTATATGGATTTTTGACTGCTGGGGGTAGTTTCCTTGTCCCTAACCCCCACAATGTTCAAGGGTCAAATGTACTTACCTGTACAGTCTTATGTATGTCTACTTGCTTATTGTGTCTGTGAACTTAATCTTCATGCGGTGAAATCTCAACTGTCTAATTCACTGCTGTCTCCCCAGCACCTAGCCTAGTTCCTGGAACATGGCGGGTGCTCAAAAAATACATCATGTGCGAATGAATGAATCCCAGCACTGAACCAACCTGAGGACAAGAACATCAAGCCTTGAACTCACACACAGGGGTATGGGTGAGAACCCAAACCTGATACATGGACTCACAGGGGCCTAGGGAGCATGTAAAAGCTTAGCGGGGGCCCTGTAGAGATTCTTAGCGATCAGCTTAGTCAGTGCACAACACTGGGAGGTAATGGGATTGTGTTAGGGAATAAATAAGCCTAGAAATGTCACTGTCTCTATGGTGGTAGACCACCAACCCTGGCTGGACCTTGAATTATCTGGAGAGCTTTTTAAAAAACTAGGGCCGAGGGACCACTTCCAGATATTCTGATTTAATAAGGCGGAATGGTCCAGCCAGCCATGTTTTTAAAAAGCTTCTCCAATAACTCCAATGTGCAGCCAGATGAGAGCACTGAATATAACGGAGGATCATCGCTCCACGAAGTTCCCCAGGGCAGAATGAGGTCCACACTCACGTGCGGGCGGGGAGGGAAGGTGCACGCATGCGCATCAGCGGCGCCACCAGCCCGCTAGCTGACTCCGCCCTGCCTCGTTTTTTCCTTCCCCGTTGTCCCAACCGCCTCCCCGCCGAAGGAGGTTCCCACAGTCCAGTCACCTGGGTGTTTTCTCCCTCCCGAAAGGCCTGTGCTACCCGCTGCCGAAGGTAAGCGCCCAAGTCTCGGCCCCGTTTGGTGTCGTCCACTGGCCATTCCTCACAGAGTTTAAGAAAACGCCGGTAGCGGCCGGCCGCCATTTTGAGCCCCGCTTCTGCCCTCCCTTGAGGGAGGAGTCAGCTGGGCTTTTGGCGCTTGCGCAGTAAGGCTCCCAGGCTTCCCTTGGAGCGGCGAGGGAGGAGTGGGCATGCGCGACTTCGTGGGCGCCCCGTCGCTCCCCGAGGAGGGGCGCTGCTGCTCTGTCTCTGAGGGGAGTTAATTTAGTCGCGGTTGTCCTGGAACCTGCCAAGCAACCAGGGCAAATCCGACGTGGAAACCCCGGGACAGCTTTACTTACTTTACTTTACTTCTTTTTCAATGACTGCACAAGCTATGGACTAAAAAAACTCTCTCCGGAGAACTGTGTACGGTAATTTGTGTAAATGAATACATTGGCATGTAAATGCTGGTTGATATTTGGTGAAGGTTTATTTGAACTTAACCACATAGCGCGCACACGTGGTTCGAACCCTCTGCCCTGCTGCATTCTCTCTCTCCATAGTCGGGCACCTGTCACTACCACTTGGTACTCGGCTACGGTTCCTCCTTCAGTGCACTTCTCCTGTCTCCCCAGCCCTTTTAAATCCCTTATGAGTGCCTCTTCCGCAAGCCAGACACGTTACCTTGGGAGGCTTAGGTTTCCTAGCTGGGGCAAAAATATTTGGAAAAACATTTTTGAATTTTATTTTTTATTTATTATGTTTTACTGATTATGCTATTATAGTTGTCCTGATTTTTTTCCCTCTTTGCCCCCCTCCACCCAGCACCCCTGACTCCGTCAGGCAATCCCCTCACCATTGTTCATGTCCATGGGTCATTCTTATAAGTTCTTTGGCTACTCCATTTCCTATGCTGTACTTTATATCCCCATGACTATTCTGTAACCACCTAATTGGGAAGTTACCTCTTAGGTAACCTTAGGAAGGTCATTTGCCACTTCACCCACTCCCCCATACTCCCGTTCCATCCGGCAACCATCAAAACACTCTGTATTCATGATTCTGTCTCTGTTCTTGTTTGCTTAATTTGTTTATTTATTATTTTATAAACTTTTTTGTGTGTGTTGTCTTTTTTAAAAATATATTTTATTGATTATGCCATTACAGTTCTATTTCCCCCTTCATTCTCCTCTACCCTGCACACCCCCTCCCCCACCATTCCCCCCTTTAGTTTATGACCATGTGTCTCAAGTTCTTTAGTTTCTGTATTTCCCCTACTATTCTTGCCCTCCCCCTCTCTATTTTCTACCTACCATCTATGCTACTTGTTTTCTGTACCTTCTCCCTCCTTCTCCTTCTCCCACTCCCCTGTTGCTAACTCTCCATGTGATCTTCATTTCTATGGTTCTGCTCCTGATCTAGCTGTCCTCTTAGTTTGCTTGTGTTTTAGGTGTGGTTCTGTGAGTTTGCTGTTCTTTCATTGTTCATCTTTTTTAATCTTCTTTTTCTTAGGTAAGTCCCTTTAACATTTCATATAATAAGGGCTTGGTGATGATGAACTCCTTGAATTTGAACTTATCTGAGAAGCACTTTATCTGTCCTTCCATTCTAAATGAAAGCTTTGCTGGCTAGAGCAATCTTGGATGTAGGTCCTTGCCTTTCATGACTTGGAATACTTCTTTCCAGCCCCTTCTTGCCTGTAAGGTCTCTTTTGAGAAGTCAGCTGACAGTCTGATGGGAACTCCTTTGTAGGTGACTGTCCCCTTATCTCTTGCTGCTTCTAGGATTCTCTCCTCCATTTTAATCTTGGCTAATGTAATTATGATGTGCGTTGGTGTTTTCCTTCTTAGGTCCAACTTCTTTGGGACTCTCTGAGCTTCCTGGATTTCCTGGAAGTCTATTTCCTTTGCCAGATTGGGGAAATTCTCCTTTATTATTTGTTTAAATAAGTTTTCCACGTGTGGCTGTTCCTCTTCCCCTTCTGGTACCCCTATAATTCAGATGTTGGAACGTTTAAAGATGTCCTGGAGGTTCCTAAGCCTCTCCCCATTTTTTTGAATTCTTGTTTCTTCATTCTTTTCTGTTTGGTTATTTTTTCCCTCTTTCTGGTCCACTCCTTTGATTTGAGTCCCAGTTTCCTTTCCATTACTATTGGTTTCCTGTGCCTTTCCCTTCATTTCAATTAGTTTAGCCTTCATATGTTCCTCTAATTTGTGACTAAAATCAACCAGTTCTGTGAGCATCCTGATCACCAGTGTTTTGAGCTGTGCATCTGAAAGTTTGGCTATTTCTTCATTGCTTAGATTTATCAGCTCTGGGACTCTGAGTTGTTCTTGAGCTATGTTTTGATCTGTTGGTGCCTGTTCTGTATGAGGAGAGGCACCTGAGGTGTTCACCAGGGTGGGGCTACCCAGGTTGCTGGTTTGTGATGCTATACGTGGGGGCGGGTCAGAGAGAGGCCACCCAGGTCTCTGGTTTGTGATGCTGTATGTGGGGGCGGGGTCAGAGAGGGACAATGGGGGTCCCCTCTGCTGCTTCCCGCCACTGGGGCCTGCACGGTCTGTCTCACTGCTCGCTCCTTCACCGGTTTATCTGAGCACGAATGTATGACCACGGTCAGCCCTCATTGGGTCCACTGCCTTGTGCCCTCAGTGGGTCCATCCACGCCTGCTGGCACACCTGGGTTGTGCACCTAGGTGGGTCCGGTGGATTTTTCCTGCCCGACCCCACTCTGCTGCTGTCTCTGCCCCTCTTACCAGTTTGGCTGAAGGGTTCATTGTTGTCAGACTTCAGTATAGTTTGATTTTCTGTGTTTTGACTGCATTTTTGTTGCTGAAACTTTGTTGTTTTTAAACTTGGTTGTGTGAGAAGGCACAGTGCTTCCACCTATGCCTCCATCTTGGTGGAAGTCTATTTTATAAACTTTTAAAATTATGTTTTATTGATTATGCTCTTACAGTTGTCCTCATTTTGTCTCTTTTGTTCCTTTTCACCCAGTACCCCCCCCCTCAATCTCCCTACCACTGCTTATGTCCATGGGTCATGCTTCCTTCACCAAATTAGGCAAGTTTTCTTTCATTATTTTTTGGAACATTTTCAATTTCTTGCTCTTTCTCTTCTTCTGGCACCCCATGAAGCAAATGTTGGAATGCTTAAAGTTGTCCTACAGGCTGCGTACACTATCCTCGTTTTTGTTTTTGTTTTTTAAATTCTCTTTACTTCTTGTTCTGATTGGTTGTTTTTTCTTTCATTATATTCCAAATCATTGACTTGATTCTTGCTTTCATCCACTTGACTGTTGTTTCCCTGTAAATTGTTCTTTATCTCAATTAGTGTATCCTTCATTTCTCACTGGGTCTTTTTATGCTATTGAGGTTCTCACTAAGTTCCTTGAGCATCCCTATAAACCAGTGTTTTGAACTCTGCATCTGATAGATTGCTTATCTCCATTTTGTTCAGTTCTTTTTCTGGAGATTGTTCTTTCATTTGGCCCATGTTTCTTTGTCTCCTCATTTTGGCAGCCTTCCTGTGTTTGTTTCTGTGTATTAAGTAGACCTACTCTGACTTTGTGTCTTGGTTGTGTGGCCTAATGTAGTAGGTGTCCTGTAGGGTCCAGTGGCTCAGCCTCCCCTACCACCCAAACTGGGTACTCAAGGTGCACCCTTTGAATTGGCTGAGTACACCCTCCTCTTGTAGTCGAGCCTTGGTTGCTGTTGGCAGGTGAATGGGAGGGATTTACCCAGTCCAGTTACCTGTAAGGACTGGCTGTGACCAATTACCACCAGCCTCCACCCTCCGTGGAGGATCAGCTGTGCAGGGGCAGGGTGGTGGTGCTCTAACATGGTCTGGAGCTGTCCACTGAGTGTACTGGCCCTGGGGTTTCTCAGGTGGTGCAGGCCAAAGTCAGCCCCCACCTATGTTTTGTCCGGGGCCACCCTGCCTGAGCTATAAAGCAGTCTGAGATGACTGCTGCTTATGCTGTGGGCTTGGAGAGTCCCAGGCCAAGCTAAGCTGTGAATATAGGCTGGCTGTTGCTAGTTTTGGGCCTGAGGCTCACTGAGGCCAGCTGTTGCTCATTTGATAGGACTTAGAAAATTGTGAAGCATGAGCCAAGACCAGCCATTCCTACGGAAAACCAGCTTGAGTGGGCCTGTAAGTTGAGGGGTAGAGTCTCTGGGAATCTCCAAGGCAGGTCAAACAGTGCTAGCCAGGTTGGTGGAGCCTCAGACATGGCACCAGCTTGCTGGCTCTGTGGTGGGAGGTTTAGAAAATGGACAATGGTCTCTGCTCACCTTGATGCCAGACACTTCCATTTCTCCTCATATGCCACTGGTGCCTTTCAAGCTGCTCTTTGGTGCTGAAGCTCAGAAGGAGTGAGTGTGAGTAGGTAAGTCTGTGGGTTCTTTAAGAGGAACTGCTTGGGGCGCCAACAGTTTCTTTCACTGACTCAATCCCCACTGATTTTTGCAGCCAGAAGTTGTGGGGACTTATCTTCCTGGCACTGGAACCCTGGGCAGTGGGGCCTGGTGTGGGTTTGGGATTCCTCACTCCCTGATAACCCTCCCGAATTGTTACTCACCACATATGTGACAGACAAGCCTGTCGCATGTCTGTGCCCCTCCTACCATTCTGGGTGGTTGTAGTTTCTTTAATTTGGTAGTTGTCAGATTTCTGTTCATCTTGATTTCTCATGTTCTTGAGTGATCGTGGTTCTGTATTTCAGTTGTAATTTTGATGTGGTTGTGTGAAGAGGCGAGCCATGTCTCTATGCCACTGTCTTGATCGGAAGTTCCTTTTTTTTAGAAACCAATCTTTCACTTACACATCTCTATCTGCATCATTATGTGGTGTCCTGATTTTTCTTGTCAAAAGATACCTTCACCTTCCAAATTTTCCTTAAGAAAGCCTTAGCCCCCCTCTGCATCTTTACTGACCTGCACTTAGCCCAGACTATCCCATGCAGACTACACTTGACTGCCTCCAAACTTCTTTTTTCTTGCCCCACCTACTTTGTCAAGGGTTGTCCAGGAGACTGTTACCTTACCTTCAGGAGTAGGAAAGTGAATACACAACCAAAACACAAGGTTAAAGGCAACAGTGTCTTATACTGAAGTGTTAGAGAATGCTAGGGAGTTTGGAGAAAAACGGTATTTCTAGCTGTTCAGGGGAACAGGGGAGAAAGATCAGGGGTGGTGTCTGAAGGCAATGACATTTGACTGTGCCTTGAAGAATGGTTAGGATTTGGGTAAGTGGGAGTGCAAGGACCCTGAGCCTCAAGAGCCAGGACTGGTGCAGGAATGGAACAGAGAAGAAAGAGGGAGGAAACTAATCTGAGTAAAGATCAATGGGTTGTTTTACCACGGACTGGCTTTGAGCTATTTTGGAGGTGTTAAGAGTGAAGATCTATTGAATGAAAACCTCTGGAGACCCAGGGTGTTCAATGTCCACTTTAAGTAAGTGAATTTGGGGTGGGGAGTGTCCACTTGAGGTGACAGTTCAGGAGGATAGAAAATGCACTCAAGGGCATCCCCATCCCAATATAACCAGCCCAATATTACCTCCCTGTTCCATCCTCATTGTATTTGCAGAGATAGTTTTGATAGCTGCCGCACGCCCAAAAGACCAGGGTTTTAAGTTACTGTCAAGCTCCAGGCACCTAGGGATGTAGTAGGTACTCTGAGAACTTGTCATTCTGTCACAGCTGTGACTTTGAAGAGTACCTGGCTAGCAGAAGACAGCTGTCCTGGGAGGCAGTAACTGAGGTCCTTCTGTCTTCAGCAAGAGGAAGAGTAACAGCGACTGGTTTTCACCCAACTTGAGGCACAAGTGCAATGACAGGTTGAGAAGAAGAACTGGATGCCAGGGGAACCCAAATCTCCTTCAAAGGCTCTCCCTTCCCCAGCACAGCATCTTCTGGGGCAGGTTGGGGTTGTCCCTGGTCCAGACTCCACTACTCAATGCTCTTTCCCTCACTGGAGGCATGTTTTTATTTTGGTGGTTCACTTGTGAGGCTTTGGAGTCTGACAGATTTGGGTTGGAATGTGGGCTTGCTCATTCATTCATTCATAACAACAGAGCATTAAACCAAATGTAGCGTGTGACTGCACAGGTCACACATCCAGGAAGCCAGCCCTTAGCTGCGGTGAACAAGACTGCTGCGAGCCCTGGTCCTGGGAGTTGTACTATTAAGTGCAGGGAGACCGATAACAACCAAGCAAGCATACACTAACAATAATGCTAGTGTTTTCTATTTATGAAGTCATATACTAAATAAACAAAATAGTTTCAGATGTGATAAGTGCCAGAGAGAGATCAAATCAGGGTACTGGGTCCACCATGACTGGGCTGGGAGTGGGGTCTGGGTGGCCTGGAGGGGCTGAGTCATCTGAGGGGCAAGGGTGGCTTCCAGGCAGAGGAGAAGCCAATGTTGGTTGAGTTAATTGCTTTGAGCTTCAGTTCTTCATCTTAAAATGGAATCATAGTAATAAATTATCACTTACTGAGTATTTGCTGTGTGCCAGGCACTATTCTAAATGCCTTATGCACCTTGACTCATTTAGTCCTCACAGTGGCTTTCTAAGTACCACTACTGTCCTCGTTTTACAGAAATGGAAACTGAGACACAGAGAATAAGGATTTACCAAGATTACCTATTGGTAAGTGGCAGAGCCTGGACTTGAACCCCAGAGCCCATGCTTTTGCCCACTTGATGCCTCTTCTGGCCTCCTCGAAGTGTTATGGTTGTGAACTGTGTGCATGATGTGCTTCTGTACATGTTGGAGTTTCCTGAGGGTTCTAGGTTCTTCTCTGGCTTGTTATACCTGGCTCTCCTATTCCCTGCACACCTGTGCCTCTGGGTGGTTGGAGCCAGAGTCTGTGCTCACTGACTTGGGGGTCACCCAGTGCCATTCTGGGCACATTAATAGGCACTGCTTGGGATGTTGCTTGGCCAGTGTCATTCCCCAGAGTATCGATGACCCTCTTAACACCCACCTGCCAGCTGTCATTCATTCCACACCAAATGAAGATTGCAGCAGCCCTCACAGCTGCTTGAAAACCCCACCAGGGCCTCACCCCTGAGCCATTTGGAATGGGTATTTGGGCTTTTTGGAGCTCTTTGTAGATCACTCTTTGGAGAATCTTTATGTAAAGGAGACACTGTCAGCGGGGAGGAGGAAGGAGGAGGAGTGGCTTCAGTTTTTCAATTACAATGACCCCAGTAATTGAGACGCCAAATCGTACATTTAAATTGCTTGAAAGTAAAAATATTGCTTTGAAATGCTGGTGTTAATAATGCAAACATTAAAAAGGAATTAAATACTTAGCAGTATTGTAGGGCAAGGTTGCCTCATTTTTCTTCTTTTAACTTACCCATAGGAAATGATTGGCTGCAACACCCATGCATTGCCATAAAAAGTGGGTCTGGACCTGTATCAAAGCTGTTGGTCATACGCTGCCCCATGTAAAGGTGACTGCTAGCTTAGCTGGAGGTGAGCTCTTCTTCAAGGCACACAGGTGTTTGCGGTGTGTCGGGATAGGCCTCAGGGGTCCTGTACTGTACCCTAATGTCTCCAAGGCTCCTCAGCTCTGTTGACACACCTTGTCATCTGACTCATGGATCTGCCTCCCTCCCTTCACTCTGCTCTCTGGTCATGTCACCCCAGGGAAGCCTCTGTGGCCCCTGGCCCACAGCTAAAGTAGCAGCCCCACCACTCCTGGTTCCCTTTTGCCTCACAGTACCAGTCGCTATTTTACCACAGACCCTGGCCCATGGTAAGTCTCTAACTAAAAGAATTGGAAGAGAACATCAGAACATAAAGCCAGGTCTCCTCACCCATTTGTCCCCCGCCCACATCCCTGTCCCTGTGATACTCATCTTTGAACAAGCAGGAGCAGGTAGACGTCTCAGTTTTGTTCTTGCATTAGCTGTCAAACTTCATGTCTCATTTCAGGGCAGTTTAGTGATGGAAGGGAAAAGTTGTGAGCAATGCATAATGAGAAGGACCCAGCCTGGCTGCAGATCAGCCTACCTAGCTGGTGCTCAGTTTGGTATTGTCTGTCCCTCCCTCTCCTCTAATTCTTGGTACCCATGCCTTCATTTTAGTTTTTCCTTCATCTTGTGTTTTATGTTTTTTGGCTACATATGATGCAGATTTAAATCAAAAGTCAGAAGTTTAGATCATTTTGAAGAACTGCAGATGCATGGCCCTGCCTTGCCATTTGTTTTATTAGACTGCTTCCTGCCCTTTCCAGCATGGTCTAAATTTGAGGCAGCTAGGAAGAGTGATGGGTCTGTCTGGGTGCTGCCCAGAGGCCCAGGGCTTCCCAATGACATTGCAGTATGGAGAAGCTGTAATAACATTCTGTTCTTTAGCCTCCTTTCCAATTGCATAGGGGATACCAGAGGGATAGAGGTGGGGCTGAGTGACTGTCTCCCAGGCTGCAGGCTACCCTTGTCCCTCCCTGTAGTGGGGAGGTCAGGAGTAGGTCGCTCTTCAACATCACCTGTCTTAAGGACCAAATTATAGTTCCTGTGGGACAGGTAAGAAAACTGAGGTAGGGGAGATGCTGTCGATCTACCGGCACTCTGGGCACACTTGATGTATGAGGTCATGACTAGAGGAAGGATCTGGATCAGAACCTGCTGCTCTGGCGCTGCCAGGCCCCTGCTGTCCCCTGATACTCCCCACTCGCTCTTTTTGTCTCTGTTTCTCCCTTCTTAAGTTAGGTATCACTTTAATGTGAGGGTTATGGATATAGAGGTTAGACTAGAAGCTGGATTCTCATCAAACCCACTTCTTCTAGGCACACAAATAAACTTAGCCCCTTGGCTTCCAGGTAAGGTTATATGACCAGTGTTCGTCCAGGGGATGTGGGTGTGCCTTCTCCATGCTGTCATCTAATTTTAGGCCTGTGGTTGAAGATGGTGGTGTCACAAAAAGGAAGGAGCTTGGACCCCTGCATACTGTGTAGAGCAGAGGCTCTTTGCCAGCTACATTGGATTGTTAAGCTGCTGATATTTGGGGATCGTTTGTTGTAACAGTTAGCCTACCCTGATATCTGTGCGATATTCAGTTGAAAAAGAAGAGACCTCTCCAGTCTGAATAAGGGAGGCCAGCCAGGGGGCTCTTAATGGTGTTCCAGGCATGAGGGAGCTGTAGAAGTGGAAGGTTCTGAGGTTTTTCTGTTCTCATGTTGTGGGGTTTCTCCACTGCCATCTTACTGTCTCTTGGTACCCTGTACCTCAGCCTCCTGTACCTCAGCCTCCTGTACCTCAGCCTCCTGTACCTCAACCTCCTATGGCCAACACAGACCACATGCCTGAACAGAATGGTGGATTCCCCTTCCATGCTCATAAATCCTTTCCCTGGACCATTTGCCTTTTTTTTTTTTAATTTAAATTTCATTTATTTATCTTTAGAGGGGAAGGGGAGAGGGGGAGAAACATCAATGTATGGTTGCCTCTCATGGGTCCCCTGCTGGGAACTGGCCTGCAACCCAGGCATGTGCCCTGACTGGGAATCAAAACGCGATCCTTTGGTTCGCAGGCCTGCGCTCAATCCACTGAGCTACACTAGCCAGGGCCCATTTACCTTTTTTAAAAATCACTTTTCAGACTTGACTCCCTTTCAAGGCACTGCTCAAAAACCACTTCTGTGATCACTCCATGTGCCAGTGAGCCTCCTGGTAGCATAGCTGAGCTAACAGCCCCTCCACCCTGGGGAAGCACCTCATAATATTTTCATATGAGGGTCTTTACTCTCATATTAAGTCATGAGATACTTAAGGGAAAACATCTTTTTTTAAAAAAAGGATTTTATTTATTTATTTTTAGACAGAGGGGAGGAAAGGAGGGGGAGAAACATCAATGTGAAAAAGACATCAGTTGGTTGCTTCTTGCACGCTCCTCAACCAGGGACTGAACCCACAGCCTGAGCATGTGCCCTGACTGGGAATTGAATCAGCGACCTTTCATTTTGCAGGATGATACCCAACCAACTGAGCCACGCCAGCCAGGGTAAGCAAAACATCTCGATCTTTGCATTTTCTTGTCCTACACAGGCCCTAGCTGTATGAGCTGTATGTACCAGGCACTCAGAAAATATTTGTTGGATGGGTGAAAAGGAAGAACAGATAAATGAAATCATAAATGAATGAGCTACTTGGCTAGATTTTTAAGTGTCTCCACCCATTGGGTTCACTCCATTTTTTTACTCTTTATTTCTGCTACCCCCAACCACAAAAACTCCATTCTGAATGGGTTGGTCTGTCCATAGACTCATAAATATGCTGGACTTTTCTGTCCCTTCATTCCCCTTCCCCACCAATCCCCCAGCACCTTCCCCACCCCTGTCACCCGTCAGGGTCTAGATGAAGTCTAACCTCTTCCAACAGTTTCTGTGACAACTCTGCTCTCAGCAAACGCCTTCAACTTTAAATTTTAGGGTTGCTTATCTGCACCACACATATCCATCCTCTGTCCACTGAGGACTGTCTTGTGTACTTTGTTGTTAGTTTATGTGTGTGATTCTTACTTCTTCAACTACAATCCAAGCTCCCAAGAGCTGGATCTTCCACAGTGCTGAGCAAAGAGATCAGCTGGAAATAACCATTCAGCACTAGGACACTTGCTGATGGCTGGATATCTGGGATCTCTCATCCCTTTTGTCATTTTTAAGTAAACTCAGATTGGAGGTCAAATGCATGCATACCCATTTTCTCTTCTTTCTGTATCTTTCTGTTGTTCTCCCTCTGCCCTGATTTGCTATAATCGGGAGGGCTGCTAATGGTGGAGGAATCAGAAGCTTATCTAGAAACTTTGGACTTGGTTGATGTGGGACCAGGTTCTCAAGCAAGAAAGTGGCTCAGGCCCTGGCTGGTGTGCCTCAGTGGATTGAGCACCAGCCTGCAAAATGAAAGGTTGCTGGATTGATTTTCAATCAGGGCACATGCCTGGATTGTGGGCCAGGCCCCTCGTTGGGGGCATGCGAGAGACAACCGAATCTCTCACGCATTGATGTTTCTCTTCCTTTCTTTCTCCCTCCCTTCCCCCTTCTCTAAAAGTAAAAAAAGAAAAAAAAAAGAAGACGAAAGAAACAAACTCAGAAAAAGCAATACTTAGGGAATAAAAAGCGTTATTAGGGAAGTTAACTTGCTTTGAAGTCCATATAATGTATTGCAAAATTAAACAGAAGTTTTTTTTTGTTTTTTTTTTATCCAGGTGACTCTTTCCAATAGTGTGGATTTTGGAAAGTTGATGGTTTAGCCATGAGAATCCAGAAATTGTATAAGGTTCAAATGAAAGGACTACTGACTTCTCAGGTCTGGTGCCTGCCTTGTAGATACATGCAAATATTTTATTTGCCACCACTCCCCACTGGGTTCCCTGAAGAATTGCAGGAAATTGGTGTGCTGCTCTTGCTGTATTCTCTAGTCACCCATCAATTGGAGCTACTGTACAGTGTGATGTGCAGAATAAATAAACAGAAAGGGTAATAAGGCACACCAAATAATCACTGTTGACCTCAGCAATTTTATTAACAAATTTATTTCCCTAATTGGGTAACGTGTCTCAGTGCTTAACTCAAGGGCATTGTAATAGGTTTCCGCACTGTAGAACAAGGAATTAATTAGAACCTTTTGCTCTTTGTTCCATACTTACTCTTGTCTCCTGGTCCTATAAACATTGCACCTGGTTTCCTCAGTTCAGGCTCCTTCCTCACTTCTGACCCCCTCCCCCGCCCCAGTAAATAAATAGAAAGCCGAGAGTGTAGTTTAACATCAGTGGCTCCTCCTCATGCACATTCCACCTCCACTGGAAATTGTATTTCATAGTTAGATTAAGAGCCTTTTTGAGGTCAGGTTCTGGCAGAATCATTGCTTCAGCAGGTACTTGGAAGTCTGTAAACAGACCTTTCTCTCCACAGGCAAAAATTGAGAACCTGGGGTGTTGGTTTGCCAGTGTTGTGTCTGGGATTGTCCTTGCCCACTCCGAACCTGGGTACAAAGCTGGTGAGATGGTAGGTCTGTCCCACTTCATCCTATGCCACCTACAGTGCCTTTTAGGGAGGTAAGAGGCACTCATTACCCCTGCCTTCCTTGCCCTGGGAGCAAGCAGATCTCTTCAACTTTTCAAGTAAGGTTTTTTGCCTTGCAGCTGGGAAGGACTGCAGCATGACAACAAGAAAGCATTTTTAAATGCAAACACTGCAGGGTCTCACTGTAATGCTGCCTCTGACTCATGCGCCCCTGCAGTCTGCTCTAAAGTGCTGTCCTTTCGCACAGACTGCCCAGTCTACAGTGACCAGCATTAGCACAAGATGCCAGGTGTGTGAATTATCTCCAGTGATGATTTCTTTAGCAGCTGTTAACATAGCCTGCCATGTATAGTGATGGCTTTTGGATGTAGATGTGATTATTACAAAGACATCTAAGGGGTGTCTAGAGTACCCTTGCTCTCAGTGGGTCCCTTTTTAGATTTGTACTGCAGAAAAATCTGGATGGGCCCAACAACTCTTATTCTCACTCCTGGATATCCTGCAGGATCTGGATGAGGTTTTGCAGGCCAAAAATATAGCCCGGATCTGGTCCATCATAGGTGGTGTGCTCATTCCGGGAACCCTTGTACGTCGTGTGAGCAAAGTCGATCATTCGGATGTCAACTTTAGGGAAACCTCTGGGAGAGCTGCCGTGCGTAGTCTGAGGAGCCTCCTGAGGATGTAGGCCACCTGGGGCTCTTTCCAGCGGCTCCTGCCCATCGTAGATGATGAGGAGAGAGCTGGAATAGAAGCGGTATGAACTCTGGCTCCTAATGACCAAGAGGAGGGCCTGGAGCTGGCACCGGATGGGCCCTAGCAGCTCTGTCCGAAGGCGGGTTCCATCGTGCAGGAACTGATAGAGGGCCTGTCTGAACCCCTCAACTGAGAGTTTTCTCCCATAGTACTTGTCTTTGCAGAGAAAGTGCTTCTTATCCGTTTGATAAACCTTACATTAAAGAGAAGAAGAGAAAATGCAAAAAATTACAAAAACCTGCAGCAGTTGCAGAGTCACAAGCCAACATGATATACATAGACAGTTGCAGGGATGCAGCGCAAGAAGGGCTGAAAGAAACAGACGATGTGCTTTCAACTGTGCACTGTTTAGCTCTGCATCTGACACGCTTTCTGTGTGAGCCTCTAATAGGACTCTGAGGTCCAAGGAACCTTCACCCTACAGAGGTCACCCTCTCCACACACAGAAAAGGACTGGATCTCCTGGATCTCCTTTCCTGTGAATTTCCAATGTCAACCTCCAAACCATGACTTAAACCCTGGCTTCTGGCCTCTCTTAAATATTAGCAAACCCAAGCTGGAAAGCTTTAATAGGAATCTGAAATCACAGCCAATGGCCTCTGAAAGACAATTAGATTAAAATTTCCCCAACAAAGATTATAGTCCTTTCTCTGCAGATTCTAAGGAAACAATAACAGCCTTTGGGGTACAGTGGGGTAAATCTTTTGAAGATAAAGGACAGGCTAGATCAAGTGTGGATGGAGTCTGGGGGCAGCCCATGCAGCTGAGGGGAGCCTGGCTGGAGGAGGGTGGTTCATAGCAGCTCTGTGGAGCTTGGTGACTCCTCCTTGGCACCAGCTCTTCTCTCCTCCCTTTCCTATCACTTCTTGGCCACCAGAGGGAGCAGATGGAAGAGAGATACTGATAGGGGGATGGTGGCAGCCACCCCCATTTCATTCAGATGGCACAGGCAGCAGCAGGGGCTGAACTGAGGCCAGCAGCTGGCATGGCTAGAGAATGACTTAGCATGCCCCTGCCTGGCACACCTGGGAAGGGCTGCCAGCACCTGGCCGGGACAGTTTCTTGGGGCTTTCCTGCCTTCAGATTACATGGTATGTTTACAGAAAACCAGTGATAAATATGATAGACTTGGTGTTGCCTTTGGAGAGTTGGAGATCAGCTGCTAAATTAACCATCATAAATACATGACAGGCATCACTTTCTAAATAAATCAGATCAATTTCAGAAGGTTTGAGGTCCAGAGAGAGATTCCATTTACACCACAAATCATCACACACCATTCTCTTGAGGACTGCATTCCAAGCCTTTCAAGGGACATCTGTGCAACAAATTTATAGACTCAACTTGCAGCTTCAAGGGGTGGCTGTTTCAATTAAGGAAAGCTATAACATTTACCAAGGAATCAGTGTCTGGTTTTACTTTGAGTAGCTAGGCTATGAGAGAGTTTATTTCCTCCTGCTCTGCAGCCTCTGCCATGAGCCACATCAGAGCAGCAAAAATAAAGTGAGGAGTCTGGGCAATAAAAATTTAACTATTCATTTGCTTGGGCTTAGCAGGTTATATAACCCTTCCACTTTGTTAACCAGAACAGGTAGAAAGAAGCAGAAAAGATAGAATAAGAAGAGAACAGCTAGTAATGCAGAGACAGACTGCCTTACAGCATCTGAGAAGGGGGAGTTCAGCTTTATCACTCAGAGAAAGGGGGTCAACAGAGCGCACAGAGAAGCTTTCCCTCTGAGTTCTTTGCCCAGCCCTTGCTCACATGCTGTCAGAGCTCTGCTCTCAGCACAGGCAGGTCACGTAGCTGCTGTGGAAACTTGCAATTGCCAAAGACCCTGAGAGCAATTGAAAAAATGGTGGAGTGTTGACACCACTATCCTGAAAGGTGCTCTTTAAAAGACCCAGTGTGTCATAGACCAGGATGTGCATTTCCTTGGGGGAGGAGAGGCACCTGGGTGCCTCCTCTGATGCTCCCCCAAAGTGAGGAGCTCTGCAGGGGTAATGGGGTCTGTATGGGAGGCATCCTGCCCCACAGTGGACATGCCAAGATACAGGGCTGGTCCTCTGCCACCCACCTGCATGCCACAGACTCGCACACCCAGGCAGGCTGAGGTGCTCTGTGCACACTTCGTCATCTGGCGGGCCTTTTTCTCCTCAGATGCGTCGTCCCCGTGCTGCCGGGTCCCCATCTTCAGGTCCAAGACACAAGGATGCTTATACTGTGACACAACGTTTTCCAGCAAGAGGAACCCTGGTCGCTCTAAGTTAAGGAAGAGTCTGAGAACATTAGGCTGCAGCCTCACTGGAGGCGGGCAGCACCCCTCTGAAGCTGCCTGGAGATTCCCTGCCCTGAGTGCTGTTCTTGCATTCCAGACAAGCCCACCACCACTAGTAAGGATTCCAGCTTTGCAGCTGCTTTATTAAGTCCTTTTATCCAGAGGGAGTTTACGAGCGTGCAACCTCTTTTTCCTTTTTGCTCTGACATTGAAATGTGTTATTTTTTAATTTTTAATTGTTTTTTAATTACAGTTGTCTCCATTTTCCCCCCATTACTCTCCCCTGCCCTGCCCACCCCCTACCTCCCACATTCAGTCTCCCCCAACCCCCATGAGGCTGAAATTTAAATGCAGGTCTGAAATCCCTGGCAGGCCCTGCTCAGTTTACATTTTATAGCAGAAAATCATAAGGCTAAAATCTCTAGTCATTAAATGGGCCTATACCTTTTGGGAGGAGTGGGTTGATGTTAGCTTTGGAGATGAGTTGCAGGAATATTAATTTCAGTGGAGTAATTATCCTGCAAAAACTTCTTAGGGATTAGGATTGCAGATGTGGCTTGTAAATACTGTGAGACCAGCCGCCCTTTGCAGGAAGGAGCCAGTGGTGATGAAGGGACATTTCAAGCCTGAATTTGCTCCCTGAGAACATGGCAGCCTAGGGGGGAAGGGGACTGCCTCCCCTGGGGTCCGCCAGCAGGCACTTCCCTCAGGGAGGAGCCACACCCCTTCCTCCCCATCAGCCCTGAAGGAAGATCCCTATGGGGCGAATTTGGAGGGATAGGGTGGCAGTCAGTATTCCTATCCATCCACAGAGGCCCAGCCCCTGTGGCAGAGAGATAGCAGTGGCCCATAAGGGGCACCGTGTTCAGTTTCATTCCCAGTCTGGCTCTCCCATAATCTCTGAGTTCTCTTTTGGAGAGAACTGATTTCTTCTATGTCCCAAGTTTGAGGGCTCCTGCCTCCAACTCTCCTTTACTCCCCCCTCACTTGACCCTCCCACTCCCATCCCTGCCCCCCTGCTCCCGCTGCTGACCCTGAGGGGACACTGCTGACCCTCGGTGAACCCCCCTGCCCTTGGGACCACGTGGCAGAGAAGCTGACAAGGATACGGTATGGCTTGTTCTCTGGGTACTCAGTGCAGAGCCGGGTCAGGTGGGCCTGGTGGCAGTGCAGACCCCATGGGTTAAAGCTCCTCCTCTCATCCTGGTTCTCTTTAGCATCTTCCACCAGGGAGGATACATGGGTGCTGAGGTGGAACTCGGACCTCAGGTACTCCGTGGCCGGGCTGTAGGTGAGGGAAGCACAAGACAGTCAGGGCAGCCAGTCCCCAGGTCAGAGACAAGGGACCCTTTTCTGTGACTGACTGTGTTCTCCTGAGCTGCACTTTGACACAGACTGTCCCTGGCTACTCTCTGGGACACTGCAAGGCCTCAGAATGCTCTTCCTGCCCATCAGTCCCCAGCACCAGGTCTGGCTACAGTGCAGCCCCCTTGCAGGGATTCTACAGTCACATTAACTCATTAGAACGTGTCACCCCCTTGGAGGACTAAGGTGGTTTAAAGTCAGTTGTCAGTGATCTGGATTATTATCCCACTATTGAGGCCCTACACTATGGGTGCAACAACCCCACAGGAAATCAGAAGTTGGGGGTTAGTCCATTACCCCCGAGACCCCAAAGTACCATAGGGAGTGGGAATCGTGCATCCTTGGTGCCTCTGTCTCCTGTCCTCTGCGTCTCAGCTTCCCTAGCTGTGAAGTGGAGATAATGGGCACCCAATTCCTGATGTTGAGCCAGGAGACTTAATTAGATCTGTGCTCCTTGGGGAAGGGAGGTACTTTCATTGCATTAGCTCCCTTTTGTTTTTCCATAAATGTTAAAAAATCCTCAGGGATCCTTCTCGTCTGAGAAAGGTCAGCTGATGTTATCAGAGGTTTTTGGAGAGCTCTCCAGGGACCTTGGTGTCCCGAACTGCCTGTGCCTCCGAGGCCCCACTGAGTGTTGTGTTGGCTTCTCATCCCTTCTTGACTGCTAAGGAAAGATGACTTCTGAGAGACATTAGCCACACTCTTCCTTCATGTCAACCACTCTGGGGTTTCTGCTCTGCACATTTCCCCCCAGAGACTTCATGGTCTCAGTGAAACAGGTATTTAATAAACAAATATGCGCCGAATGCCTGCTCTGTACAGGACTCTGCCATATTCATCTGCATCTGAAATGAAGGCATTGCGTCCTTCCCTCCGGAGAGGCATGAAGAAGATGTATTCCTGTCTCTCCTCACATTAGTTATTCTAGACAGAACCTTCATCTGAATTTCTCATTTTCTGTGCTCTGGCCTTCATGGGGAGCCGTGGGCCTTGGTCCCACTGGGAGTAGTACTGGTCCCTGCTAGGGATGAGCTCCAGCTTCTGTCATACTGCCAAGTGGCCCTCACCTCTCCTTCAGCGAATGTGCCAGCTGGGCGTGCTGCCACTGTGAGAGGGGACCTGCACCGCCACCGCTGCTCGTGGTCTGCTGGAGTTTCTGCCACATCGCCACCGCTGCTGACCCTGAGGGGACGTTTAAGGGCCCCTGGTTCTCCTTCAGTGGGTTGGCAACCAAGCTGAGATGGCCTAGGCTGTCTTTCCGGAGGTGAACTGTGATGGTACCTGCAGAGTACATGAGGGAGGTCAGGAGGTGGAGAAACCAGGTGGAATTTACCTGAATGGACACGTCGCAATGGGTGATACCTATTTGAAGTATAGTTTAATGGCAATGGTCAACCTTTCCTTTTTCCCAACTCCTCTCTCAAGGAAGCTGTAGGGACTGTCCTGATTTAGCCTGAACCCAACCTGTTCCAGAATGAGCCCAAGGCTGTGGAGCCTGCAGAAAATAGCTTTGGGCTGATCTTGGCACAGCCTCTGCGTTGTGGCACTTCTCTGCCCCTTCATGCTTTAACAAAGCCCACCTGTGCTTGTATTCCAGTTCCTTTGTGCACAGTCACGCCTTCCCAGTCACACCACAGCTGCCCCAACTGGGCCCAAGCTTGGGGCATCAGAACTGGTTTGCAAAGAAGGGTTCCCTCCCAGAGTAGCAGTTATGGAAGTGGGGGCCCACACATTCCTCCCATTGTCTGTCTCCGTCATCATGCTTTCTCTCTCCTGCATTTGTCTCTATCTGACCAGCTGCTCCCAGGAAGCCTCCTCAGACAGCCTGCAGGGACTCAGGACTCCCATCATGCCTTCCTCTGCCCTCCCCATCCCTGCCCTCTGGCTTTGATAGTGGTGCTCGGTGTCCGCTTTGGTTAGACACACACACAGCACATGAAGACTGTTGGTGGAACGTGGCTCTGTGACATAAAAAGACAACTTGTGAGATTTCCTCAGCTTCCAGGACCTCCTTCTCCACAGTAAAAGGGAAGAGTGCAAGGACACCCCATGAACACGTGCTACTTGGGCTCCTCCTCCAAGACAGTTGCCAGACCTGGTATCAGTCCTGGCACGTATGTTCACTGCTCTGTGGCTGCTTCCTTTGTATTCTTCCTTCAGGGTGCATGAGGAAGGCAGAGTCCAGGTCTTCCTCTCTGGCCTGGGCGGCCAGCGGGCACCCTGTCTCCCCAGAGTCCTGGCGAAGAGGAAACAATCTTCCTGGCAGTGGCACAGGAGACCGTCTCACAGATGTTCTGAGAGAACCAGGTTTCCGAGTGCTTGTGGCTTCCCTCTCACCCGGTCAGTTCCACTGTCCCCTCACATCGGCCCTTCAGGCCTGGGGGGTGGCAGCTTTTCGGTGCTGCTGGTCCTTGGTGCCTCGGATCCCCAGTTGTTTCCTCAGCCTTTACGTAACAGGTCCTTTAGAAAGTGCTCTTCATTTGAACCTGTCCGCTGGGCCCCCGACTGAGGGTGGGTTGCATGTGATTCTGTTCTCTAAGATATTTATTTCCATCCCTGGCCACTTGGTCACCTTCTCAGCATAAGTGGTAATTTCTGCTGAATAAGCTCTCGGGCAGCTGAGTTTTCCTGTGTGCGTCCCGTCTGGCCCTCCGGGGCTGGTCAGTGCAGACACCTGTTTTCCGCCTGCTCTGTAGTTCAGCAAGCCGCTCTTCAGAGCCATCTGTGCCTAGCTCAGCGCTCTCCCCAGGCCAGTCCTGTCATCTCAGATTCCCAGTGGGAATCTCTCCCAATTTTGTAGCCCGAGAGTGACATTCAGTTTTCACCAGCTCCTAAAACTGCATTTCCTTGCTCATGCCAGGGCCCTGCACCCTGTGAAGTAACAATGATACATCTATAATGCCGTTCCTGGACCTGACATTTGCGGTTCATCTGAAGACCAGTGTGCATCCCTAGAGCTAGCCCATCGCAGCAGCCTGCTCATGAGAGCAGGGTTGGTGGCAGGCCAGGGAGGTGACTGCACAGTGATTGTCACTACCATGACCTCCACGCCTACTGTGCGCCAGCGCCTTGTGCTTATCATTTGTTGTCACTGTGCTGTAGCAGCCCGACTCTGGCCACTGGGGTTCAAAGAGAATGGATACCTTGCCCCGGGTCACACAGGTGTAGCACTCTGAGAAGGCCACACCAGACTGAGATGTGGAAGAAGGAACCAGCTGCGACATGGAGCTGAGGACTTCATAGGGAGACTGGGTTGTCACGCTGTGTTTACCCACCTGTGGATGAGAACACCCTTGCCGTGTCCTCAGTTGTGTTTGTTTTGGTCATTCTGTCCTGTGAAGCAGAGAAGCTGTGACCCCACCATCCTGTGGGGGCCATCGGTGCAGGTGCTGGGAGCCCAGGAAGCCCACAGACGTGGGGTTTATTGCCAGCCCTGTTTCCTGGGGGGTGGGGGTAGGGTCACTGTGCTTGTTCTAGGGAGGGGCACTGACCCGGAAACCACCTCGGGGCTCCAGGCCCACCCTCCCTGTGTGAGAAGGGAAGACCTCACGGCATCTGTGATTGTCCTTGGGCTGCTCAGGACCCCCTGGCTTCCTGGGCCCTTCCGCATCTTGTAATGTCCGAGTTACCGTCCGACGGCCCCTGGCCTTTCCCATTCCTGATGCTGTGGTGATGGCCATACCAGAAACCATGCTCTCAGGGAGCCTGCGTCTGAGAGGCAAGAAATGTGACCTTCACCCACTTTTCTAGGCTCCAGCTTTTGTCTGCTCTCTTCCATTTTGAGTGTCTAAATAAATGGAGGTGAGTGGAGGTGCAAAAAACCCCGAGCCAATAAAACCCAAAAGTCATTTCTTTTTCTCATATGTCAGAGCTACACAGCCAGGCTCCATGTCCCTGCTTTCTTGCTCCATCTTCCTGCACATCTCTGACTGGCTCTGTCTCCATTTATCTGTCTCTTCTCCCTCCCGCACACCCCTCTGTGGTTCAGCCCAGCCCTCAGGAAGCCTGGGATCCAGTACACACAGGGCCTTGCAAAGTCTCAAGCAGCCCGCCCATGACAAGAGCAGCACATCAGTGGAATCTAGACTGCTAGGGACTTGGAGTGTTCTTTTTGCCAAGTGCCGTCACCTGGCCTCCAGCTCACTGTATGTGCCCGTGGGGTTCCCAGAACTCCGCTGCCCCTGCCTGTAGAGTGGGAGCCCCGGCTGCCTGCTTGCCAGCCCTCCTCAGGCATGTCGACCTGCCACCGTGTCGGGGCGAGCGCTTACTGCCACAATTGACACTCAGAGCATCTCAGCAATTTTAGCTTGGCCGAGCAGCTTCCTCAGCCTCTGAATATTCTGTTAAGTGTTTATTTTTAAGCTCATGGGAGTGTTTATCTGTTGCTGTTTATATGAATCTGGCTCCTCCATTAACCACTAGGCCTAGGAGCATATCCTCCCCCAAAGGCAGCTGGGAGGCAGAGGGATGCAGCCCAAGATGCTGTCATACCTGAGCAGTCCCGGAGAAGGTCCAGGGCGAGCTCCGGGCTCAGGGAGGTTGCCCTTGGCAATGATATAACTGCCCAGCATCCCCTGAGGCCATCCCAGTGCACCATGGTGTGCAGTGGCCACTTCAGAAATAGCTCTGGAGCTATTCCCATGCGGAAAAGAAAAGAGACCCCTGTGGCAGCCTTGTAGGCACTCGAGTGCTCCTGACCTGAAGTCTCAGCTCAGTGGCTCTTCCGCAGTGGCATCCAAGGAGTCCATCTCCAGTATGAGTAGCTGGTGGAGCCAAAAGCCACACTTGGGACTCAGAGCTGGGAGCTTTGAATCCTAGCTCTGCCCCTCACTGGCTGTGTGCCCTGACAAGTTAGGTAACCTCTCTGTACCTCAGTTTCTTTACCTGTGAAATGGGGATAATAATAGTCCCCATCTCAGAGGGCTGTGGCACCTGCAAACTACTCACAGGCATTTGGGCAGTGAGGGAGCTCTAAGGGTTAGGCGATGTTACTTTTCTTACCATGTGAGACCAGGCGGCTGCACAGTCTAAGGGTCCTTTGAGGGTCTCTTTCCCACTAAAACCTTACCGTAGCTTCTTGCCCCAAGTGTCTGAGAGTGAGTGTCCTGCCCTGGTGTCTGGTATTCCAGTGTCTTAGACTTGCATTTCCTTAGTGGGCCTGCACTATGGCTAGTGAGTGGATGCATTTCTGCATCATTGGAACCTCATGTTTGGAAGTCATTGGAGCCCAAGGACTCTGCCTCACCCTCAGCAGGACCACATAGTCTCACCTGGGGGTATCTGCAGTACCCTGATGCAGTTTGCAAACACCACCCCCTGAGTGAAGCCCAAGGCAGAGACTGAAGCACTCCCCATGGCCAGTAATGTGTGTAGCTATGAGCCTCGGTTCAAATTAATCTCCTACCTTAGCAGAGCCTCAAGGTCATTGGTTCTGGGGATGGGCCCATCCTGAAGGGGGAAGCAGGGCAGAGGAAGGGTATATAGCCAGTAAGCCTGTGCCTGAGAGGGCCCGAGTGTGGTGTGGTCCTACCCCAAGAGGAATGGGCACATGCGGACAGGGTGCAGGGGAGCAGCAGGATCAGGTCTGGAGACTGAGCAGCCTCCCTCACTCTCCTGCTTTGTCTCTGCCGGCCCTGGCAGTCTCTCAGCTCCAGAGCTGTGTCAAGAAAGCATGAAATGCCACAGGCAGGAGGCCACTCCACACAAGGACCTGCCACCCCTTTGTCAGATTGAGATCATTTTTGGAAAGGACAGACGTTAATTCCAGTGGGTGCTCTGACAAGATGAGCAGTGACCCACGAGCCATGGTCAACACTGCCTGAGCTCCAGAGGGCCCCAGGGGAGTCCTGTCCAGGCTGCACTCCAGCTGTGCACCCCTGTCTCAGTGTCTGATGCTCATCGCCCTGTTTCAGAATCTCAGGGGCGGGGCCCAGCAGGCCAGGACTGAAGGATGCCTCCTACGGCGCTGGCCTTGACCCCCTACCAGTGGGTCTTAATTTGGAACATGTTGAATACCAATTCCTGAGCCCTAATCTGGGGATTCTGGTTCCCAGGTCTAGGATGGGGCCTGGGAGCCTGCATATATGTACACACAAACACATACACTCACACACTTTCCAGTGAGTCAGGTTAAGTTGGTCGATCTCAGAGCGACACTGAGAAACGCTGATGTAGATAAGCTCCAGCCTTCCCAGTTATGTCAGGCATTGTAATGCAAGTGAGTTTTGACTGACTGTTTTGGGTGTTATCATTGCCTTTACTATAGATACTTGGGCAAGGAGGACAGAAGCTTGTAGTCACAACATCTAAAATCCTTTAGAGGAGGGCTTTTCTCTGAACACCCATGCCATTCTGGGCTTGTGGCTGGCCGTGAACAGAACAGCCAGAGGCCCTGCCTGGAGGCCCAGAATAGGTGGCCTCCCCACAGCCTTCTTCCCCCAGAACCCCCCTCACGCTCAGATCAGGACACACGCTGTTTCATGCCAATTTCCCCGGGTCCCCCTGCAAGGCAGCCAATGCCTCTGGCTGTGCCACTGGGCGAGAGGGCAGGAATTCTGGTTTCCTAAATCTGCTGTGGCCCAGCTCTTCTGTGTCATGTCCTAGGCCCAAGGAAGGCTCCTGCCACCCACCTGAGTCTCTAGCATGAGGTAAAGGGAACCTCCGCTTGTCCTGTATTTACCAGCTGTGGTCACAGAACCCAGCCATGTGCTCCTAAAGCACAGGCCAGGATGCCCCATTTTATTCTGTTCTTAATTCCTCGAAGCCGGGTGGCTTGAGCTAATTTGGAAGGACTCCAAATGCTATTATACTGCAGACCTGGGGGACATGAAGAGTTCAGAGAAACTAGGACAGTGAAGGCCAGCTGGGCTGCAGGAGAGGGGCATGTCTCCATGGCAACCACTACACATACCACAGGGCTTGAGGAAGCAGTGGGTGCACGCAAATGAGCCTGGCCCTGTGTGGTGGCCTGGGTCACGTCTGCTGCCTGAACACTCACCTTTGTACTGTGGGGTGAACCGCTTCATGGCCAGTGGCAGGGATTCATAGAACCTCTGCTCCTGGGACACGAGGGGCTTGCACACCGTGTCCTCGTCATACTTCATCACGCTCAGGTGTCCCCCGACCTGGTGCAGGAAGGGCTCCAGTTGCACACCCATCCTGGTGTTCCCCTCTTCCACACTGTCCTGCACAACCATGGCCTGAGGTAGACAAGTGGCAGCTCCAGGACAGAGGCAGGGCTGTCAGAGGTCCTCAACTTTCTCCTTGTCGTTTGCTGTTGTCATAGCATAATTTTCTTCCCAGCTGTGGGCTCTCAGCAGGGTCCCTGGAAAGCAGAGGAGGGTGGAAATGATGTGAGTGAGGCAGCGGTGGTGGCAGTGCTCAGACGCACTTGTGGTCCCCAGCCCCCAGCCACAGGGGGCTAAACCAGACTATAAACAGGCATGGATCACTGCTGCACTGTCTGTTACAAGAAACTACTAACACTGGTTGCTCCCAGGGAGTGGGGCTGAAAGGAAGACTTCTCCAAGTAGGTACCTTTTGCATTTAAATATTCAAACACTTTAAAAAAAAATCAAACAATACACATAAACATAGGCTTCCAGGGTGGGGGACTATGTCCTGAATTCTCATGTCGTGTTGCGTGCCTGCCTTGTGGAACATTGATTCCAGGCCCAAGAAGAGAGCAGTCTCTGTCATTGGAGCGCTCAGCATCTAGCAGGGCTTGCGGTGCAGGAGTGCTTCCCTTCTGTGTTGCGTAGCTGTGCACCACTGATTTTCATCACGGCTTTGTGACCTTCGGGAGTTCCTGAACCTCTTTGGCCTCAGTGTTCCCATCTGTGGAATGGGACAATAAGGGCGTCTGCCTAGTGGAGTTTAGGACAGAATTGGGATAAAGCCTGTGAAAAGGTTAGCCCAGGGCCCAGAGCTGAGTGCTTAATAAATGTGATTAATCATGATCACTTCTAGCATCATTGCTTGGTGGGTCACATTTTCCCACCTGGGTTGTGGGGAAGGCAGGCTTTCTCACCACCACCTTGCAAAGGAGGAAAGCGAGGCCTGAAATACCTTGCTTGGGCCAGTGGGGTCCAGGAGCAGAGATGGAAGTAAAGCGGGTTCCCTGTCTCTGGGCCTCATCGCCCACTGCCTGCTACTCTTTCTTCCTCCCAAGGGCAAGCCTGCTGGATAGCAGGGAAATGCTAGGACTCTGGGCTGGAAATCCAGTTCCCAAAGACGTCCTGACTTCGTGTCAGGAGAGCGCCAAAGAGAAACTTTGAGAGAGGCTCTGCCAGCCATACCGTGTCTGAGAGGACATTCTCACAGCAGTGCTTGTCACTGCCGAGTTATTAATACTCTCCTCTGCTGGACTCCCGGTGGAGGATGTGGCCAGGCTGGGCAGCGCCAGGCATGATGAACCCTCTGTATGACCTTCAGTCCAGACCGTGGACATAGTTGTCCGGCCCCAGGCACAGCAGTGCCTGTCAATTTGTTCAGTATCCTGGCTCAGAGAGACTCCTGCCACCAGTCCAGACCTCCAGCACCAGGGGGCATTGAAATGCTCAGTCCAGCTCATCCATTCCCCGCAGGCAGCCTCTCCTGCTTTGTCTACTTGTGCAGGCCACAGAGTACTCTGCCCTTCAGGAAGGGGAAGGGGTGCTCCTCCTGGTTTGTGCATTTGCTTCGAGGCGTGCAGGCTGTGGCTTCAGGAGCTGCCTGTGTGGCTGGAGCCTGGCTGGGGAGGGTGCGGTTGTGCCTGAGACCACAGTCCCAGCCTTGCCCAGCTCTGCTCCGAGACTGCACAGAGGTGAGCCCTCCTGGGAGCCTGTTCTGGGTGCTGAGAAAAGAAGCTGGTGGAGACATCTAGATGGGGAGGGAAATCAGCAATTGGCCCAGGAATAAGTTGATGTCCTCGATACTTGGCAAACCCAGTCCTACTTGCAAATTTGGTGAATGTCAGAAGGAAGGAAGAAAAGTCAAGGTGGCCCAGCATGGCTTCCCCCCCTGGGTTTGCTTATATGTCACTGTTTACCAGCTGCTGACCTGTCCCTGGGGAAAGGGAGGCAGAGACTTCCCGGTAACCAGAGGGACAGCCATGCTGTCAAATTAATTTATAACCACTCCTGGAAGGAGCCTGGGCCCTGTCCCTCACACCAGCTCCCTGGCCCAGGCACAGAGCTGGCCCAGCTAGCAGGCCTGCTCCCCAAGCACCCAGGCAGTGTCCTGGCAGCAGCACATGTCCCATGCTGGGCCATCCGCTGCCTTTCTTTCCCCATGCCTTTATGTCCCTCAGGAGCTCTGAGGACATGGATGTCACCTCACAGTGGCAGCATAAGAAGGAATTAATAATAAATACTAACATATGTAGCACTTTCCATGTTCCAGGCACTGCTCTAGGTGTTTTACATAGATGAGCCCAGGAAAGCTTCATACCTACTCTAGGAGGTGGTGTTGTCAGCCCATTTTACATATGAGAAAAATGCACAGAGAGGTTAATAACTTGCCTGTGTGCACCCAGCTGGTGTGGGGAGAGCAGGGATTTGAACATTAGCCCCAGAGTGCGCTTACCTGCCACACTGCGGGGAGCCTGAGGGCTCTTGTTTATCAACTTCCAGAGTCAGGAATTTGAGCCCCAAGGAGGCTGGGACTTGACCAAAACCACCTACAAGTCACTGGCTGTGCTGGGACAGAACCCAGGTTTTCTTGTCCCCCAGCCCTGGTCTCTCCGACCCTAACAATAGTGAGCACGTGCCCTGGGGCTCCGCACCTCAGAAACCATCAGGAAGGGTCAGTCCATGTAGAGCTGGGCGTAGTATTGACCACCTTGAGGCTTCTGGCTGGAGGTGTCAACCAGACCCAAGAGACACTGTCATTCCCATTCTCAGGAGCCCCGGCTGAGCCTTCGCAGAGAGCACAGACTGAGCCGGGATGGCCCCAGGCCTCCAAGACGGCCCACAGCATGAGACACAAACTCTCGCCCCTAGATTTGGAGTGGGTTGGTAGCAATGGGAGGTCTGTTGCGTAGTCACCTGAGCTTTTAAAAAAGCTGGGCTTGACAGGTGGAGAAACTGAGGCTCTTTCCCTCATGGGTCACCTTAGGGGCTATATTAGGTGACATCTCCTCAGACGCCCCTGCTCCTGGGCTGCGTGGCTGTGGTTCTGACAGTTTGGTGGGAAGGGGTGGAGGGAGGGCGGACGGGCAGGGGTGTCAGCACCAGAGCGCCCGCCTGAGCCGGCCAGGTGGGCTTTGCTGCTGCTCAGGGAGGCGCTCTGTGGCCTCGCGTTGGCACCGACGCCGACCCCGGATTCCGAAGGAAGCTTGAGGTTTTCCACCTCTGTCTGTGCAGCCTCCCACTCTGTGGGGCAGAGCTGGGAAGTTCCGTCCTTCTGTTCCTGCCCTGGAAGTCCCACATAGGTAATTCAGCTCCACAGACATTTCTCAACCCAGACCTTCCTTTTGCCACATGCAGGCCCTCCCGTCACTGGCGTGGGCCTTGGCCTCTGAGTCCGTGTCTATTTCCTAACAGCCCCGGGCAGGGCGACAGCACCCGGCTCTGCTGCAGGTGTTCGCACCAGCTTGCCGAAGCCACGAGACACGCTGAATAAGGACCCTGAGCTTGATTTCCCACCCACTGCCACAGGCTCGTCATGATGCGCAGAAGACAAAAGACACAGCATTCCTCTGTGGAGGCCTCAGCATCTCCCCCAGCGGGTTTGTCACCGTGTGGGTGACCCTCAAGACCGACTCAGCCTGGGGGCTGGGAAGGCAGGTGAGGCTCCTGCCTGAGGTAGGACATCACGCAACCCCCGCCCCCCGACACATCTGCTGAATACCCTGGGCTCCCTTTGTTGCTTGGAAGGGAGACAAATGTCCCTCTGTCCAGCCCGTGCTCCCTCTCACAGTCTCGCAGCCCAGATGTGGTGCCCACTATCCTCCTAGTGTTCCTGTGGGGGGACGAGAGGGAGCTAGGATGAGGGAGGGAGGTAAGCGGCAAGATGCCCCAGCCAGAGAGTTCAGCTTAAAACCCCCACCCCCATGAAGGATGGACAGATGGCCCCAAGTTGGTGTCCTCCTGGCCTGTCACTGGGTCATGTCCTGAGTGGCATAACTCTGGGCCTCACTCCAGGAGACTCAGGGCTGATTTCTCTGGGGGGCCTGGTCACTGAGCTGGCTGTTAAAAGAGTTTCCGGGCGGTCTGTGTCAGCAGAGCCTGCGAGGCCTGAGTGACAACCAGTCTGCCGTGGGGTAGCAGGACACTCTGGTCTGAAAGGAGGGTCACGAACAGCAGGCCCGCAGTTATATTTGGCTGCCAGAGGGGGGACGGACGACAACACCAAGGGTGCCAGGCACAATGACAGACGCCGCCGTCTCGCAGAGGCGGGTGAGTGCCTCCTGGCTGCACGACCAGCTGGCAGGCCTTCCTCCCTGAGGGCCTCTGTGCACTTGACCCCACCTTCAGGCCAGACCCGAGTTCATTGAAACTGCAGAACATCTTTGGTTTCTGTTTCAAACTTGCCACTCCCATTTTAGGAAAGATGGCAGGCGAAACTACAAATCAAGCTTGTCAAGGTTTAAACTGGGACTAAATTAGTCATGGACTGTCTCTTATCGAAGCCTGTCAGCTCCGGGAACAAGGTGGCCGCTCACAAATGCCTGGTTCCTGGTGTCCCCCTTGCACATGGAAGGTGAGTGCGGCCACTCGGTCTGCTGTGGCTGGCTTAGTGTGTGTGCAAGTGATGGGTCACTTCCAGTGGGAGCTCCTAAGAGCAAGCAAGCAGTTCCCACCTTCTCCTTCCCTGGCTGCGGTCACCCCGGAAGCACAGTGGCTCCCTGAGGGACTGCATGTTGGATACACAGTGTGATGGAGAACTCGATCTCTGTCATTGCAGGCCACTGAGATTTGGGGGGTGGTTTGTTATGCAGCACAGCCTGGCCTGCCACCGGCTCACAGCCACATTCCCTGTACAGGGTCCTTAGGTTGAAAGCAACCTCACTCAAGTGAGACACTCAGAGACTTCATTGCACAAAGACATCTGTGCAATAATGGCCACTCCTACTGAGCATCCACTGAGGTCCACTGGCTTAGTTCCCACCTCTGTTTTTCAAGAGAATCCCTTTCGGGTGGAGAAGAGTGAAGAAGAGCTTTCCCAAGGTCCAGAGCTCAAGCACTGGAGCTGGGATTCTCTCAGGCTGCTGCCGGGTCTGCCCCGCAGCACAGTCTTCCTCTGGGTCCTGAGACCCACGTCAGGCTCTCGGCCAGGGTCCTGCGCCTCAGCCGGCCGTGAGGGCACCACAGCCAGGGGCAGCTGCAGTGGTGGCTCAACCAGGCGCTGTGCAGGAGGCGGGTGACAGCACCCTGGGTGAAGGGCGCCCTTGAGGGCCGCTGGGTGTGATCTTTCCCAGATCACACCCACAGCAGCATTCTCTGCAGACTCCAAACCTAACACCCACAGAACACAGTCACTTCTCCAGCGCGTGCAGACACTTTGATGGTCACTGAAAACAAACTCATTTAAAGGCATTACTTGTGTCCCTAGTAGTTTTCTCAATCAACAGAAACTAAAAATATAATGAGTATCACAGGGGGACTCATAGGGAAAATTATGTTGAGAAAATGGAGGTGAGGAGAAATAAATAGTGCTGTCACTGAGACAGTGGTGGTATGAGGGGCTGGCAGGGGCTGTGAGTGGGGAGGGATGGCAGCCCGGCCTGGGGCACCCTGCGGAGGGCCTGCTTGGGGAGTGTGTGCGAGGGAGCCATGGGCAAGAGGGAGGGCAGCCTGGGGAGGCAGAGGCAGGGTGCTGGGCGGGCCCGGCCCAGGTTCATGTGCCCCACACTGGGCTGGGGCCTCGGCGTGGAGGAGACAGAGAGGGCGCCTGGCCGTGCTGACGGGGGGCGACTGTCCAGTTCCAGCTCACTGTAGGGAGGAGGCAATCACCTGAGATCACTGGGGTGTGGAAGCCTTTGGGGCCACCTCCTAGTAGGTCTGGGGAGAGCAGGCAGTCTGCAGGGAGATAATCAAAAGAAGCCCGATACACAGCGTGTCAGGCTGCAGACCACAGATTCAAGGGCAGCATGGAGATGGCCTGCCTCTGAAGCTCCAACGTCCATTTGCAGGCCTCTGGGAGCCAGGGGCCTGGCACAAGTGCCACTCCACGTCTTTGCAAGGCCCAAGGGAGCATTGTTTTCATCTGTTAGAGAAGAAAGGACCAGAAAACCATTTAAAGCCACTTAGGTTGTTACGGGCAGGATTTTGGTGTTTCTCATGTGGCGGAGGATTGTGTATCATCTGGGGTCATCCAGGTTGGGAAAACATAAGGTTATTTTCTGGAGAAAAAAATCACACACTAAAATCCATTCTAAAATGACTCAAGGGCTATAAGGCCCATGTGTCCTCTGTCCACATGGCCCCCAGCCCAGTGGGATCAATACTGCTGGGGAACTTGACACACCACCTTCCAGCTGTGGCTGAGACACGTGGCTTTGGGTGTCCGTTTCCTGGGAAGTCCGAGCTCCAGAATCACAGAGCAATGCTTCACATGCCTCAGTTGCAGCAACTTATTTAGAGGCTGATTTTATTCTTTGAGGGAAGATTTTTTTCCCTGTTCTTTTCTCTTAACATTTAAAGTCTCCCAGCATTCCTCCAGCCTGAGCACCAAATGTGATTTGAATACAGTGATTATTAGTTTAGAAGCCCTTCGACCACAGCCAAATGTCCTCAGCAGCAGCGGCAATGTTCTGAGTGTGCTGTCGGGGCAGGAGACACGTGGGGCGGAGATGACTCAGAAAGCCGAGCCGCTGGAAAGGCTGCAGAGGGCAGAGGCTGGCAGGGGTTCCGGCCTTCCCAGGCCCTAACATGTTCCAGCTTCAGGACAGTGCCCTGGGTCCTCAGGTACCCCGGGCAAGGCCAGTAACCATTCCGCCGGCCCCTCCAAGGCACACCCCTCGAGGCTGCAGCCAGGATCTTAGATATCGCCCAGCTCAGACCCACACATGTCCCAGCCTCAGACACCCTGCCACACGCCCTCCCCTTTCTCCGAGGAATATGACCAGTCACCTGCCTCGTGGAAGAGACTTAGCCAGAGATGGTTAGTATGGCAACTTTATGACTGCAAGAAGAAACCGCTCTTTTAGGGTCAAAACAAAATAGTGGATGGAGCAAGTATGTGGGCAAATGTGTGAATGAGGGTGCAAGTGTGCATGTGCGCGTGTGTGTGTGTGTGTGGTGTCATGGTTCTTGAGGCCACAGAGCAGAACTGGCCAACTAAAGAGCGAGCGTCTTCTGAGAGAATGGGAGTGAGCAAGCAAGGCTTTCCCTGGCGGAGGGCAGCAGCAGACGCACACGGCCCCCCCGAGGGGCCAAAACCTACAGCCAGCAAGCCCCCCCTGGCCTGGGGATACACATCCTGAGCCACCCTGGGTTTGCCAGGCCTGTCCTCAGCCCAGAGAGCAAAGGGTCTCTGCCTTTGCAGACGACTGTTTTTGCCTCAGAAGTTATCAAGATTGATCGTCCCATGTTCCCTTTTCACCACTCTCTTATTTTTCTAAAGGTTGTCTCACTGGGAAGCTTCTTGCCCTGGATGAGGCACATTGAGAAGTACAGTGCCTGGCTAGATTCACGGGGAAGGGACCCCCAAACCGGGGACAGGGCTGGCTGGAGAGGGTGTGGAGGGCTGAGGTGCTGGAGACACATGTGAGCAGAGTGGACCATGGTCTTCGGCACCTCCACCCAACAGGTCCCTCCTGGGCCAGGTGCACCCAGGGCTGGAGGAGGAGGAGGAACCAGCATGACGAGGGGCTGCCAACGTGGCACTGGTGTGGGCCGCCCCATCCCCACGTCTCACTGCAGCCGCTGCCCTGAACGCCCCTGTGCATCAGCGCTCACGCCGTAAAGTTGATTGGTGCTCTCACGGCTGCTGGTCAGCAAGGCAGCAACACCCAGGTTCCTGCCTGGGGAGGGCCTGTTCCTGTGCCCTGCTCAGTGCGGGAGAGAGCGGGGGCAAGCTGCTGGCCGCTGGCTGGGCTTAGTCTGGCTTGCACCCCCAGAGTACCCTGGGGAGGAAGAGCAGGAGGGTCCCAGGGGCCGCAGGCCCTTCATAGGAGTTTCTCAGACCCCTGATAAGGAGCTGGCTCTGGGGGAGCGGGGTGGGGGAGCGGGGCCAGGAGACCTCGCTCTGCCCTAGCGTCCCAGCCCTTTCCTCTCCGGGCCTCAGTTTCCTTATCAGCACTGAGAGTTGTCTGACTCAGCCATGTTCTCACTCTCCTATGGGACAACTGGCCCCTCGGTCCAGCAAGTCAGTATGGTGGGGAAAATCAGGTGGGGGGGGGCTGGCCGAGATCCTTTCAGATTGAAAGAGAAGGCATACTGACCAGATAGGTGCACCTTGACTGATCCTGGTCTAAACAAAGCCTTAAAAACATTCAGAGGGCAGCCGGGGAAGTGTGAGTACATTCTCAGAGAGTCGCTAATTCTGTCAGTGGAATGACGGAGGTAGGGCTCTGTAAGAACCACCCTGGGGTGAGGATTGCAGGGCCGCCTGAGTGTAGCTGAGGAAGCGCGTAGGCAAACCTCGAACAACTGCTTAGACTCAGAGGCAGGCTTATATCAGTCCCTCTGCCTTTTCCCGTAGGCTGAAAGTTTTTCATTGTACCAGGTCAAAAATAAACTGGTAGCTTTTAAGAGCTGTAGAAGCCTGGGTCCTGAACCCCAGGTCCGAATCTCTGGGGAAGGGGCTTGGCATGGATGTGTTTGGGTCCCCAGAGGTCCTGAAGAACGTGGCAGACTCAGGTTCAGGTCTCAGGTCCATGGAGAGTGCCGTAGAGCCCATGGGAGAGGGGACCCAAGACTCTGCCACTGCCCAGGACAGGGGGCCCTGGTGGCGACACGTCTCTGAGGCCCAGGGCCCACTGCACCCCACCCCATGGGGCACCCAGTGCCCAGGCCACTGCCCGCAGGCGCTGATGTCATCTTCGCCCTGTGATCCCGCTGGGTGGAAGGTGAGGCTGCTGGGACAGGACATGCTGGAACAGGACATTCCTGGGCTCAGGGGGTGGGACCCACTTGTCCTGGGACAGCTGCTTCTCCTGGGACAGTGTGGGGTATGAAACATCAGCTCCAACGCCTGCACCTGTCCCTACAGCTTCCTCTGTGGCTCCAGCTCAGCCCAGCACCCCCAGGGCCCTACCTGCCTTCAGGGGCCGTGAGGAGCAGAGGGGTGGAATTTCTCTAGTGGAGGGGAGAGAAGCAAATGACAGAATTTCTATGTTGCTGAACTGTTGTGACTTGCCCCTCATACACACACAGACACCTCCCCAGGCAGGTCCTTAACCAGCCCGGGATGGAGATGGGGCCCACCCCTCCAGCTCTGTGGCACCACTGGGGGTTCAGCAAGCCCACCCCCATCCCTGTCCCCCAGGGAAGCACTCACCAGGGCCTCCTCCCTGGTGGGTCCTGGGAGTGTGTAGATGGGACGGGCCAGGGGGAAGTAACTCTCTCGGTGTCTGCCGACCACAGGCGCTGGGTGAAGGCCTTTCCGGAGTCCCAGTGTGGAGAAGTCGCTGCACTGTGGCACTGGGGGAGAGAGCCGCCCAGAGGGCCAGGCTATAGTGGCCTGGGGAGAGGAGGTCACCTGACCCTGGGGACGGGCTGGCAGGGGCTGGCCTGTCCAGCTGTCCATTGGTATTTGCTGCTCTGGGCAGGGAGGGAGGGGAAGGACGAGGAGGAAGAGGAGGAGTGGACCAGGAGGGAAGAGATCTGCTCTGTGCCTGGAGATAGATGTCAGGCCCTGGCAATCAAGGGCCGTTGCCAAAGGCGCCTGGTTATTTTTTGATCCCTTGTTCATAGGGTAAGGCTGGGGCCGGTTCATATTCCCCTTCCCCCGGTCTCCCTGCCCGCACCCCACTCCCCACCACCTCACTCTCCGTTTTCCCCAGGCTGTGGCCACCTGAGGGAGGGAAAGTCGTGCAACAGGACAGCCAATCAACAATCTGCTTGAAGACAGGCTGACCTGCCAGACCAGTGCCTGCTGTCAGGGATCTGCAGTCATGGGGGTGGGATGAGGGTGTTCAGCAAGTCAAAAGACAACTGGGCTTAGGGGGTCTCCTCACCTGCTTTGGGGGGAGCAGAGAAGGCATCCTGGAAGAAACGCACCGCCCGTTGGGTTTGGGTGGGGGAGCGTGAGAAGAGTGGTCCAGGTAAGGGAAGAGCTCCCAAAGGCGCAGAGGCAGTGATGGGGGGTGGGGCAGAGAGGCGCAGGCGCTCAGAGCAGCTGGAGCATGCAAGGAGGGGGCGGAGGGGGATGCGGGAAGGTGGGCCTCCCAGAACTTTCCTCAGCTCTTCCTGTCAGGAAGCTCCAGGCCTACCCGGGTTTGGTTCGGAGCTCCCCACTTTGAGGTACCCCATTGGGTACCATGGATCAGGTAGGTAGTGAGGCCCTAGGTCCTGACCTCCAGGTGAATCTGGCCTAAGGGGGGGAAGAGGGCAGTGGGTAGGAGGGAGATACTGAGGAGTCAGCCTTGATTAGGTCTGGTGACACTGGACAGGGACAGATGTAACAGACACAAAGGACAGGGGTTGTCCAGGGACAGGCTTCAGGTCTGAGAGAGACTGGACAAACACTAGGAAGGTCTAAAGTCTGCCCTTCAGGAAACTCAAGCTACCTGGGCCTACGGCTGCTGTTCCCCTCGGCACCGGGCACCCTGCTTGCTTGGGGCCCCGCTGTCCCTTCCTGGGCTTCTGTGTGTGGGTGCTCCACCCCCAGAGGCTCAGCCTCCTTTTGCTCCCTGTTCTGGTCCTCTGACTCTGGGCCATGCCCCCAAATCCTTGATTTCTTCGGGGTCCACTTCCCTATCTGCTCATTCTAACAGCATCCCCCAGACCTGTTGCTTCAGCACCAAGTCATACTGCAGTTTCTATGTCCCCCTTTTGGCATTTCCATGTGTCCATGGAGAACTCGCTTCCCAGACAGCCTCTCCCTCTCTCTGCTCATCGCCGAGCAGGGAGCCCGGGTTCTGAGTGAGGACTAGTGTGCAGGTCTCCTGGCCCTTGTCCCAGAGGTACTCTGTGACGCTGTCTGCTCTGTGTGCCCCTGCACTGCCTCCCCCACCCGGCTGTCATAGTGGCAAAGTACAAGGTGCCCTGGGGTGGCCACAGCAAATTTGAGGTCCGCCCACCTGCCAGCCCAGCTCCCTTGCTGTGGCAGACATCCTGTCCTCTCTGCATGCCCAGACAGGGCAGAGTCTGCGGGCATGACAGGGATTCCCTGGTGTCCGGAGGTCTGATATGAAGTGGGTGAGGATCCCGGGCATAGTTCTCCTCTCGCTCCCCAGCCCAGGGCAGAGGACTGCATTTCACTGGGAAGGCAGAGGCCAGGCCCTGGGAGCCTCCGGCCTGCTGGGCCCCTCACACTGGCCAGCCCTGTTACCTGGCCCTGGAAGAGAAGGCGTGACCCCCTTTCCCCCCAGCCCTCATCCACTTACCTCCCCTTCCCCACCTGGTCTGGAAAGTTGCTGACCCGGGAGCCCTAGAACCACCTCTGGACTGAGCTGCAAGGCCTTTAGGGGTACAAAGGGGATGGGACCTTCACCTAAGCTGGGCGGCCAGTGAGGGCTGAGCCTGAGTGAACCAGGGTTCAGGGAGCGTCCGTCCACATACCAGTACCTGGTTTCTGTTTTTGTTTGGTCGCTGTAAGGAGCAAGATTCCACACTGACTCCTTATTCATCCATTCATTTATCAACAGTACTGAGCCCCAGTCTGTGACCCATGATGCATGGCAGTAAATAAAACACAGGCCCCACTGCCCTGGAGCCTGGGATCTCATTTCCCATTATGCAAACAGGATACTTTATTTCTGTTTCCTGGCTGCAGCCAAGTTCCTTCCACGGTCATTTTCCAAAACCCAGCTTCGTGTGCAAGATGCTTGCTGTGAATCCTCTTTCCACAGCCATGTCTTTGACCCGCCTCTGCCCCGTGACCACTTGCAGCCCACATGGGCCTGGCCCCTATCCTTCCGCCGGGAGGTCAGCCCTGACCAGCTTGGCTCTTTTGTGGGCAGCATATCAGACCAGCTCTTAGATACCACCACTTGGGGGCAGATATGCTTGGGGCTCATAAGTACTCCAGCTACCTGAGGATGAGGGGTGGCCTAGTTTCCCCCTGGGGCTCCCCTTTCCCTCTTCCACCCCAGCCTGACTGACCATCTAGGACCTGCCCCTTCACTGCTGCCTTCCCTGGCAGTTCATTTGTCATACATCCACCCTGTGGATTTCATGCTCCAAATGCTCTCCATCCCCACAGCCATCGCCCTGGCCCGCCACCTCCACCTTCTGCACCTTGGATGATTTCTCGTGGTGTCCTCCCTTCTCCTCACGCCCCTGCTCCTGCACTCCATTCTCCCCAGAGTGACGTTTTCAAACAATTCGGTCACGTCACTTACCTGCTGAATATTCTTCAGTGACTCCTTGTCCTTAGAATATAACCCAAAGCCCTCCCCAGGGCTGAGCCCTGCCCACCCCCTCAGCCCCATCTCACTGGATGTCTCCTGGCCTCCAAGGTCCAGCTGCAGCTTGCACAGGCCTGTGCTGGCTGTCCTTTCCACCTGGCATGCCTTGCCCTCACCCCTCCACCTGGCTAATTCTTCTTCCTCTTTCAAATGCCAACTCAAGCATCACCTCCTCCAAGAAGTCCTCCTTGATTTTGCTGGCATGTCTGCCCCCAGCACCCTTCTTTAGAAGCACTTACCCCAGACACAGTTGCATTATTTGCTCCTCGCGTGTTTTCCTTCCTCAAGGACAGCGACTTGCTTATTTTGCTCCACAATGTATCCCCAGCATGTAGCACAAAGCCAGCCTCCCAGTACCTGTTTGGTGAATGAATGAATGTGCAGACTTATTCTGGGCTTCTGGCTTCCCCTCCCATCATCTCCATGCTGTGGCTTTAGCAGCCAAGGGTGTATGGAGTGAGAAGCCACCCGTAGCTAGGGTGCTCAGAGTTCCTTCCCTCTTCCAAACCTTGGCCTGATTGCAGCCACCCTGTGAAACCTTCTTAGCTGCTTCCCTCCCCGCACAACTGCCCTCATAACCCAGTTTTTCCATTCCAGAGACCACAACAACCCTCTGTGTTCCAGGACTTGTCATCACCCCATTCCCCTGGAGTAAACAGTGTGGCTGCCCTGCTGCTGCCAAACTGCCCAGGTTCCAGCATAAGCCCCTCCTTTCCTGGTGGGGCCCCCTCTTGCTGCACCCCAGCCGGGCATACAGCCCTCCCCTCTCTCTTTCCTGGCTGTGTGAATACCTCCAAGAGCAGCGTGCAGAGGGGCCCCTGCACTGCCCCTCCCCTAGGATGGCTCAAAGGGAAAGCACTGTCCAGTGACGCCCAAGAGTCCTCTCTGCCCCTCATTCCCTGCCTGTTCATCGTGTCCTCTGCAGTCTTGGCTCTTCTCTGGTTGCTCTTCTCTCTCTCACATTCTCTTGTTACCTTTTCTGTTTTGCTGATGTTTCTTGTTCTCATTCTGCTGTGTCCAGCCACGCGTGAGTGTGGTTTGAGTGTACATGTGTGCATGAGTGCCAGTGTGCATGTGTGTGCCTGCATGTTTGTATGTGTATGCATGAGTATGTAAGCAAGTGTATGTATGTGGATGTGACTGCAAGTGTAAGTGTGCATGTGTGCACAAGTGCAAAGTGCGTGTGAGTGTGCATTGAATCGTGAGAGTGCCTGATGCAGGGAGAGTGATGAGCTGAACAGGAGTGTCTTAATTAGTGGGCCCTTGGGGATGGGGACTCGGGGGGCAGAGCATGGGGTACTGCCCAGGGACTTGGGCGCCGAGGGACCTCACACAAGCACTGGGTGCCCCAAACTGACTCCCGGAGCAGGGTGCGAGAACTGGGTGACACACTGATCTCACTCGCCTGCCTTCCCCGTTCCCCCCGAGGCCCTCCCTGGATGGTAGTGCCCCGGGCCATCTGGTGGTCAGCCACCTCCTCCCTCGGCAGCTACCCCCTCTCTAGAAAGCCGGGATGGAGCGTAGGCTGAGGGCAGTTGCTGTCCAGCCCCTCGCAGTCAGAGAGGAGGCTCTCGGCCTGGCAGCCGGCAGCTCCCCAGAGTCATGGCTGTGCCAGCCTGACTCAGCTCCCAGTTCCTGACCCTGACTGGGAACCTCCGGCCTGGATCCCTGCCAGGGCTCTGCCCCAGGGCCAGTGGGCTCCTGTTGGGCTCCCCCAGGGCAGGGGGGCCCCAGGCTACGGAGGCTACTCCTCACTGCGCAGCCTCAGCCTGCCCGGAAATCTGGGGAGACTGTGCCCAGGGGCAGGTGTTAGGCCCTCTGTTAATGAGCAGGGCTCCCTTGAGGGGGAAGCCGCAGGATGTCATCAACCAGCCCTGGGAGCCAAGTCAGGGGCACCGACGCTCTGGCCAGGTGCTGGTGGGACTGGGTGGGGGCGGGGAGGCACCCAGGGAGCCGCCGCGGCCACAGTGCCAGCACGGCCACCATTCGGCAGGGACTCCTCACACGCACACAATCCCTGACGTGAGCCTGACTCGAATGTGAGGTTGGGGCACTACCCTCATATTATAGCTGAGAACCGGAGGCCCAGGGAGGCCTCGTGTCACACGGCCAGTAAGTGGCAGGGCTGGGATTAGGACCCGGGCCCCCTTTCGACCACTACCATTCACCAGGCAGTGCCCCGCCCCAGGTTACACACCAGTGCAGGAACACGCCCTCGCCAGGGGAAGGCAGGGGTCAGCCCTTCCTTCGCCAGCCAGGCCCAGGGGTGGGGGATGGGTGGTGTGGGAGGAGGTGATGGCTGGTCCCCACATGTGAAACGAACAGAGGTAGGAGACTCGGCACGGGCAGGTTCTCCCAGCAGTGCTGGGTTCTGGGCCCCGTCCCCCAGCTCACCTCCAGCTAAAGCTCAGAGAGGACACTACCCCAACACAGCTCTCAGGAGGGCAGGCGCCTGCGGCCGTCAATCTGAGGAAGAGCCGGTGTGCGGCTGAGACCCCAGTCACAGGCCATCGGTCCTGTGTATGCGGCTCTTTCAGCGATCCGTAGGTGACATTTCTGGGGGCTCCCCTGTGGTGACAACAAAGGCCGTCAGAGGAAGGCCCTCCCCTGTCTGTGAGTCCCCAGAGGACACGGCCACCCCATCTCCTCAAGGGAACAAACAGGCTGCCACCTGTCTTTCTGGCATGAGGTGCGAGGCACAGAGAGGGCCCTGCCACACAGCATCTGCCCAGGGGAGAACCCACCGCTCCTGCCTCTGGTTGTCACAGCTTTGCCAGTCCCGCCGGTTGGAGCAGAGCTTTACAAAATGAGAAATCCCAGAATGTCAGAGTAGAGGGTCCCTCGGAGGCTGCCTACTGCAATCTTTTCCTTTTAAAGGAAAGGAGAGACCGGCAAGGCTGCAAAGAGAGGACAGGACCCACTCAGCGGCACTGAACACCACTCTGGGACTGCTGGTCTTTCTGCTGCACGGGACGAGGGCTGGCGAGGGCGTGGGCGCGGGCACACCTGGTTTGAGGCCCAGCCCTGCTATTTCCTGGTGCTGTGACTTTGGACAAGCATCTTAACCTCACTGAGCCTCAGTTTCCTCATCTATATGATGGGGATAATTTTCTTGGGGTTGTTGTGACATTTCAATGACATAAATGAAAGTTACAACCACTTAGCACAGTGTCTGACACAGGACTTCAAAATGTTGGCTGTTGGTGTGATAGCTATTAGTGCGTAGCAAGGCCTCACGGGATGGGCCTCAGCCAGGAGGGAGCCACGGTGGCTGCTACACTTGCCAACCCTGAACTCAGGTTCATGCCTTCACATGGCTGTGGCGACAGTGGCCCACAGGATTTGAGTCTGGGACTGCCCCCCCATTGCAGGACCCTCAGGTACCACAGAGGCACATGCAGGGCTCAGTGGGACCATAAGGAGGGAGAGGTCAACCTGCCTGCCATGGGGGCTGGGCTGAAGGCTTCCCAGGGGAGGCGGCTTCCAGGGTGGGCCTTGAAGGTGCAGAGGAGCCCCCGGGCAGTGGGGTGAACGAAGGAAACAGCACTGCAAGGGCACAGAGGCATAGGAGGACACGGCATTTCTGGGGACACAGGTGGCTACAGAAGGGGTGGGTGTGCAGGCAGGTGGGGAGGGCACACTCATCTCTCCTCCCTTTAAGAAATGCTCACATTTTGACTGTGAAGCCAGGACCATGGCCTCTTGCAAAAGTAACACCTGATAGCTCACACAGACTTTCCTGTCACTTCACAGAGGAGGAGTCCCCCGCCTGCAGAGGGGGCGGCTCCCCAGGTACCCGCAGCAGGGCAGGTGGAGCCCGCCGGTCCTGCTGACTCTCGGGCTGAGACTGACCTTCAGGCGTGGGTGGTGAGAGCCAGGGAGGGTTTCCACGGGGAGCTGGATACGCAGGCAGTGGTCCTGGGTCCACAGCAGCCCTGGGCTGGGCCTGGGGGAGGGACGGGCAGGGATGACAGCCGGGGGCGCCGACAAGTTATTTGTGCTTCTCTGTAAGTCCTCCAGGGCCAAAAAGGTAATTGAGTAAGTGAGTGTGAGCAAATGCAGGCGATCATTTAATTGTGCCAGAAAATTAAGTTGGTTGCAGCTGGGGGCCACCAGCCCATTACCGCTGGCCCCGCTTTCTGCTGAGCTGGGTGATTGGGGCTGGAGTGGCCATCTATCCTTGGCCTGCCCCACCCTGCACCCTGACCGCCCTTCCCCATGCTGGCAGGGCCTGAGGAGGTCAGTGGTCAAGGAGTTTGTTCTCTGGAGCTCACACCCCATTCTGTGCTCCAGGAAGGCCCCTGGGGGGCTGTGCTGTACAATGAGGGCACTATGAGGAACCTGGGGTGCAGGGGGTGCCCAGGGCTTGGCCACAGAGGCAGGGGCTCAGATCACGACAATTGGAACCGGAGTCACACAAAAGCCCTTCATGTGCTAGGAGCTGTTCTAGTTACTATCAGCTCAATGAACCTTCCAATCACCCTGCAAGCAGAGTGCTTTTATTATCCCCGGTTTCACAGACAAAGAAACTGAGGTAGGGCTCTAACTCCTGGCGCTGGTTTTGAGAAGCCCGGGGAAGGCTGAGCATCTGTGGGGCTCCCCCAGGCGCTGCAGCAGAGAGACGCATTTGGACCTGGCCCTGCAAGCGTCCTCACCTCCTGTGCCATTTCAGCCTCGCTGGCACCACTGCCTGCCCCTCTACGCAAGACCTAAGTTCAGAGGCGGGGGGAGGCCCTTCAGGCCTGTCCACCTAGGTCCCCAGAGCTCTGGCCCTGGCTCCTCTGCTGCCCTTTAAAGTCCCTCTGAGGAGGCAGATAAAATTAGGCCCGGAATGTGAGAAGCCAGTTCATCTTCCCAGATTGGGCAGTCACGATGGCCCCAGGGCAATACCGGGAAGGCTGACCGGAGGGGCCAGAGCAAGGCTGGGTCTGGGTCTAGACCCAAACTGCAGGTGAGCTTGGGCACTTCCCGTAGCCCTGGGTCTCACTTTTGTGCTGTCACACAGATGTGAATGCTCCCTGACACACTCAGTGGGTGGAGTGAGCTCCTCGTAGGGAGGAGCTACAGAGTCATGAGGGGCTGCTCTTTCCTGAGCACCCACTGCGCACTAGGTGTTCTGGATCTGTGATCCCGACAAAGGCTCACAGGGGACTGACGGGCTATGGTTCAATCAGTTGTTCATTCCGAACAAGTTTGCTGAGCTGCTTCTCGATGCCAGGCGCAGATCTGGGCAGCGGGGACTGAGCAGAGAACACACACAACGAGAATCCTTTATGTTACCGGGGGGCATACAGGTCAAATAAGTAAACCAAGTATCACACAGGTGGCAAACACAAGGCCCGTGGGCTGAATCCGGCCCTCCACCTTGTTCAATCCAGCCTGGCACCTTGTTTCTACCCAGTGGCAGCACCGAGCTCTGGCAACTGTGAAGGAGCAGTGACATTTATAGCTCTGTGTAAATTACACTCGGCCCTTTGAAGGCAACTACAAGGCTGATGTGGCCCCGGGTGAAAATGAGTTTGATCCCCTGAAGTAGAGGGTGGATGGAGAGTGCTGGAGCAAAACACAGCGGGGACAGCTGGGGAGCACTGGGAGCTTCCATTTTAGACATGGAGGTTAGGAAAGGCCTCGCCGAGAAGGTGTGTTCGGAGCAGGGACTTGAGATGAGATTGCTGCTGTGTGGCCCAGGGGAGAGGGTGCCCTAGAGAGGCGGGGCAAGTGCAGAGGCGCGGGGGCAGGAAGGAGAAGGCCAGGCAGAGGGGAGAGGGGAGAGTGACAGGAAATGTGGGCAAAAGTGTTTACGTGAGAGAGACAGAGGGAGGGGGGGAGAGAGAGAGAGAGAGAGAGAGAGATTCTGACTTCTACTTTGGGGGGGTAGAAGGCAAAGCCTAATCCCAGAAGGGATGTGGTCTGACTTTGGTTTCAACAAGATTGCTTTTGTGACTGAGTAGGGAACTGACGGTTGGGGCAGGACCAGCTACATAATTTGCAAAGCCCAGTGCAAAATGAAGTAGTGGGATCCTTGTTAAAAAATTATCAGGAATTTCAAGACAGAGCCCTGGCCAGTGAGTCTCACAGCTGGTTGGAGCATTGCCCTGTAATGGAAAGGTTGTGCGTTGATCCCAGGCCCCCGCGTGTATGGGAGGCAACTGATCTATGTTTCCCTCTCTCCTTTCCTCTCTTCCTTCTTCTCTCTCCTAAAAAAAAAAAAAAGCAGTGGAAAATGTCCTTGGGTGAGGATTAATAAAAGGGAAAAAGAATTTCAAGACGGCAATGGCGGAGCATTAGGCCAAGCACAGGGCCCTGCACCGCGGACTGCTCGGGCCGCGTAGCCACGAGCTGGCCCTGGGGTTGCAGGCGAAAGCAGGGCAGCGAGGAGGTTTTACAGTTGTCAGGCTGGAGGTGACAGGGAGGTGGAAAGTTGTCAGACAGTGGAGGTGGAGAGAGGAGGCCAAGTTATCCCCATTTTGTAGGTGGGGACACTGAGCCTGAGGGACTGTAAGTAATTAGCCCAAGACTGTACGCCCAGTAAGAGGCCAAGCCAAAGGAGAACCCGGTCAAAGGTGGGCGCCCTGCTCTGCTCCGCACAGGTCTCCGGCCTGCCAGCCCACCGTAGGGTGCCGGGGGCTCCTTGCTGGCTCTTTGGCCCCAGCACAGGGGCCACTAGTGTCTGGAGCTGTCAGAGCTGAAAGCCACTGCAAACCTCCCATCCTAGCCTCTCTGTCCTGGTTTAACTGCACTGCTCTCACCAGCTGCCAGAACCCCTGACTACTGCCTCCTCCCGCTCCTGGCTGAACCTGCACCCCCACTGGCATCAGCCCTCGCCTCTCATGTGGAGAACACCCCCATCCTCTCTGTGCACCTGGCCTCCCTGAGACGCAGCCCTCCTCACAGCCTTACCCAGGCTCTGGCAGGGCCCCCGGTATCGGGGCCCGGTGTTGGGGGTTAGGGGGCGGGTCAGCGCCAGGCTCGCCACCTCGCACTGGGCCTCCACAGGCAGGCTCTGCTCCCACATGGCCCAGGCGGCCTGTGCAGCCTCCGGCCGCACCCCGCCTGTGTCCGCCCTCCCCGCCTGTGCTGGGTGTTGGCTGCCCTGCTGCCGTCGGCACTGCCTCATTCAGAGTTCTGGTGCAGGTGTGCACAGACTCGCTTTCTTTTCCCTCCACGCTGCAGCCTCCAGCCGCCTGGGCTGTGAGCTCTCTGACGGGAGGATCGTGTCTCCTCTTCTTTCCCTCATCCATTTATGCACACGGCACCTGCTGTGTACCAGGCACTGGGCTGGGTCTGACATGATCTATAAAAACGAGTCAGAGATGGGTTTCCAGTTAACCCACGTGGTAGAGTGAACACTGCGTTTGATCCCCCTGGGTCACAGGTGCGTGTCCACAGGACAGAGGGAGAGGAGGGCACTGCAGGCAAGACACTCGGCTTTGGGAGACACGCAGTGGTAGCCCACTGTCGCCCAGCTGCCTCTGTTCGGGGGAGGGCCTGCGGTCAGTGATCTAGGAGCAGGGAGGTGTCTGACGCTGACCTGGGGGGAGGAGGGGGAGGAGGTGCAGGCACACCCGTCCCCAGCCTGGCACTGTCCTGTTTCTGCATCTGGGCAGTCAGTGGACAGGCCACTGTCCACAGGGCCAAGGCTGCTCATAAGTCCATTCTCCCTTAGACAGGAGGAAGGAGTACCAGAGGCCAAGTCTGGATGGGACAACCATCACTTTCACACATATTTCAGGGACAGGCTCTCATCCCACACCCCTCTTAACTGTCCTGGGAGGTCAGAAATATGGCCCAACTAGGCCAGTCCAGCACAGCGAAGAAGGGGGAGTGGGTCTTTGTGGCTGCCTCGCCACAAAGGTGTCAGAAGATCCAGTTCCCGGGCAGCCTCGGTCAGAAAGCTCTGTAGGATGACCTCCCCGCAAATGAGGGTGCAAACTACAGGAGAGAGTGACAGGCATGTGGCAAGCAGGGATTCCAGCGTCGGAGGGGTGACCCAGCACCACCAGGACTGGTCATCCGGCTAGGGGCCATGCTGGCTCCGGAGGAGGCGCCTGGTCTGGTCCTGGAGTCTGGGGGCAGGTTGACGATGGTGCACAGAAATCTCAGGACACAGGTGAGCCCTGAGAGGCAAGTGGATTAACTTCAAGAAAAGAAAGTTTTGTGGGAAATAAATGTAACCCTGGGCCTCTGGATGACTCACCTGGAATAACATTCACACTCTGGAGCCGGGCTGTGAGCACGAGGTGCTGACTCAGTGCCATGTGAGTGCGCAGCGGGGTGGAGGCGGGGGAACGGGCGGTGGGAGTTAAATCTTAATGCTCAGTTGAATTCTAATCTTCTGCAGCAAGTCAGTAGGTCAAACCTAGAATAGAGAACCACGAGTGTGGAGTTTGTGCACATCACGCAGACGCTGGACGCGAGCCGCGAAGGCCGTGGCGAGAAAGCAGGCCTGGGGGTGGGGAACGGACAGCTGCTCTTTCTTCACAAGCCATGAAATACTCTTTGGTTTTAAAAATTATTTCCATGTGTTACTTTTATAAAAATGAAAGTTATCTAAAAATAAGGGGAGGATATGTTACCATGATTAAGGAAGAAAAAAACAGAGGCCTGAGTCTGTGGGTGGAAGCACCAAGGAGCGCTTTGCTCAACTGCGGCCGCGGAGAAAGAACCGCGCAGGCGCGTCCGTACAGGTGGGACGGGCCGAGGGCGCAGTGGGAGTTTGGAGGCAGATGTTACTGTGAGAGAAACCAATTCTTAATGGGTTAATCTCTCTGCCTCTCAGATGTTGCAGGGCACTTCTGCTGCCTCCTGCAGACTCTTCATAAATATTCACAAGTGGAAGCAGAGACCCTCAGTCAGAGAGCGTTTCCTGGTGGTTACAGTGCGGGGCCACCGCTTGGAGAGGTCCTGGGTCAGGGGCGGTGGAGGCAGCTCCCTGCCTTCCCCTGGGTTACCTGGGCCCAGAGTCGTCTGTTTCCTGGATGCCGTATCTGTGCAGCCCCTGCGGGGTGAGAGTGGTGGCGGCAGCTGCACGTTTGCCTGTGTAGTTCCTCATGCATGCATGCACGGATTTACACGTATGTGGGGGCATGTGGATGTATAAATGTTGACCTTGGTGGGTGCTGAATCAGTCCAGTCCAATGCTCCCTGCACACAGGAATGGTTTACTTCCCCTCCCCCTCGCCCCCGTGTCCTCAGAGCTGCCCCCTGGCCAAAGCTGTGTAGCCAGAAAAGTAAATCCTGGGAAGCCTCCCACCCCCAACTCGGGCTCCTCACTCTTTTCTTCAGGTGGGGCAGACGCCTCACTGCCCCATGTCAACAGGGTGCTTCGCCTTCTCTCTCTCTCCTCTCCTTTAACAAATCTACTTCTTGGGCAAGGCTTTGATAGGTTTGTATTTTTAGAAAGTATAAAGTGTTAAGCTAAAGGAAGGAATCTTTAATGATGGAATTTCAGGCCTGGTCCTCTTAGGAGACGTTTATATGTTTGGCTCTGGTTTGGTTTTGTCAGGGACACTTCCCTGTGTCCCAGGAGCCACCCTGAAGGCCCAGGCTCCCTCCTGGACACTGTGGGTCCGGTCACCCTCCCCTCGTCAGTTGCCAGAGCATTCCTTGGGGCAAGGGTGGGGTTGTCAGCTTCCTTTAGCTCCAAGATGGGCCCCAGTCCACTCTCTGCTCCCACCTGCAGGCTACCCCTCCCCTCCTGCCCTGCCCTGTCCGGGTACACCCTTCCCAGAGGGAGGCGGGGGCACTCTGGGGGCCAGGAGTGAGTAGCACCTACTCCTTCAGGGCTAAGACAGGGCAGAGGACACCTGGGCCACGCCTGAGTCTGGCTTGACAGGAGTGACACACGTCAGCTCTTACCTGAACCTGGCTTCCCTACCTTGGTCTGAGGCTGCAGCTACCGTCTGAGTGGAGGAGTGAACCCTCACCTGCCCTCAGCCCCAGGTGGGTGCTCCCCATAGCCAACCGGGGTGGGGCCCTTTGGGACTCAGGGCAGGTGGCAGGGGACATATCAAGCTCCCCCCTCTGTGCTGCGCTCCCCGCCCCATCACACCCTTCTTCCCCAGAGCAGCCCTATGGCAGGCTCCACGATCTTCAGTACAGGAAGGTGAAGAGGAAGAAGCATCTTTGGAGTTCTCTGTTCATCTGTGCCAGTTGCATTTCGAGTCTGGGGACATAGCCGAGTCCCTGGCCCGTCCTAGATCCAGTCTCCGCACCCTCAGCCATCTCTGGCCACCTGAGGGCTTGCACCTTTGTCCCCTGGGTTGCCAGCACTGCTTGACTGGCCTCCCCCGTCTGCCCAGAGCCCAGCCCCATCAGGCCCGCAGTGCATTCCATGTTGGGGTTCCTCACTTGAAGCTTCAGAGCCCTCTTTTCCTATCACCAAGCCCAGCCTGCGGCTGTCAGGACTCTGGCCTTGCCTTGCAGGACATGTCTCAGCCGGGCTGGAACCTATGGCTGAGAATCCTAGGGGGGCTGCCTGGCCCAGAGCCACTACTGTGTCCAGAGCTGGTGGGCAGTTTGGCTGGCTACCTCCCCTTTCTCCTGCGGTGCTTCTGACCCCTGCTGGCCATCTTCACATACCCTTGAGCCCTCCTCTCCCTGCACAGGCATCTCTCCATAGGGTCCTGGTGCTTGAATGCTTCTGGGGATAGAGGGCTCACTACCTCACTCAGCAGCCTGCTCCAGGAACAGTTGCTTCTGCCTCTTAGAAAAGTTCTTTGAAAGTAGCTAAAGTCTGAATGCTGGTCACTTCCATCCATTGATTCATAGTCGTACCCTCAGGGGTCACACATGTCTTTCTTTGTTATCAATGCTGCCTATGTACCAGGCAACATGCGTCATGTCCTTCAGTCCTCTCAACACCTGTGAGGCTGATACCGGGGCCATTCCCATAACACAGGTGGGGGACCTGGGGTCCAAAGGAAGAGTGTGTCACATAGGCAGGAAGTTTCAGAACCTGGGGTTCAAATCCAGAGCCCACTTTGAGGGGATCTCGGAGACCCAGACCTGTCCCTGTCTCTTGCTGGAAGATGTTTTTGTTTTGTTTTTAATCCTCACCTGAGGAGATTTTTTTGTTGTTGCTTTTAGAGAAAGAGAGAAACATCAATGTGAAAGAGAAACCTCGACTGGTCATCTTCTCATTCATTCCCGGAGCAGGGACAGAACCTGTGACCCTTTGGTCCACAGACAACATTCCAGCCAACTAAACCACCTCAAGGCACTGCTGGGGCGTGTTTGAAGGGAGAGGCTGTCTGGGAGTAAGTACCGGGGCCATTCCCAGGTGGACCATGCGGGGGGTTGGGCTTCGGTGCCTGAAAGTTCCCTGCCCCAAAGGACAGCCTGGCTGCAAGGGCTTCTGACTTCAGGGCTGCGCCTCCCTGGTCCCCAGCTGCCCTGCTCATCCTGTGTGGGGCGCCTCCGTTGATGCCGCACAGACCCACCCCCTCGCTGCTCAGAGTCCTGGCCGCCTTCCCTTGACCCCCAAGCCCATGCCGGAGCTCAGCCCCTGGACCCCCCACCCCCGGCTCAGCGCAGCGTCTCCCTTCCTTCCTCCCGGGAGCCGCCGCTCCTCCCCCATCTCTCCAGCCATGGAGGCAGGGCACAAATAAATACGTAAAACAAAATAAACACCATTGTTGCTGTTAAGTTTCATCTCATTTGATCCACCCCATCGCTCCAGCCTGTCAACTTCTGTTTAGATTCCAGCTCTGTCATCTGGCATATTTGCCATTGTCCCCCACAGCCATGTGGCATCTGCAAATTTGATAAAGTACATGGAGTGTGTTTGTCTCAGATGAAGCCCCCTCCCCGCACTGGGTTGCTGGAGCACACATGTGCGGGCATGTGTACACACATGCATGTGCACACACACCCCTCCCTCAGCCCAAGGCTCATCAGCCTTGTCCAGCCACCTGCAGGACCCTGACCGTGATCCTGGCACTCTGTGCCACAGAGCTACTGGTTTTGCACATGTGACCCTGTGGGGGGTGGGACACTAAAGGGACATCCACACCTCACCTCCACTGGCTGCTGTGTAAACGGCCTCTGACCTGGCTGTGTGCTGTAAGCCTCTCTCACCAAGCCCGGGGCACAGCAGGCCAGCTAGCCTGGGCCTGGGCTCTCCTGGACAGTGGACAGCGGTGCGGCCTCCCTCCACTCCAAACATGCAAACGCATCCTCCTCGGTGTGACCCGGCTTCGGGGGCAGGCCCAGCACAAGCGCGTGGGGCAAGGACTCCTGGCTCATGTGCTTGTGGCTTGCCGTTCCTCCAGTCCTTCTTTTCCGGCGACTGAGAGCTGGTCTTTGCAGTGACCGCACGGCCAGGAAAGATCCAGGCCCTCACGACAGAGCCCACCAGACACTGGCTGAACAGAATGAAAAGATCCCAGGGCCTGGGCAGACCTTCTAGGGCCTTCCAGCCCGTTCCCAGCTTCCAGAACTGGTGTTGGAGCACGGAGGATGGAGCGGGCGCCTTCCTGCGCCTTCCCCACTGCGGCGAGGCCTGGCTGCAGGGACGGCGTTTCCTGCGTCACCTGTCTCAGGCACTGGTGCCAATGACAGGCATCCCCAGATTCCTGGTGGCCGGTATCAGCGTTTGTGGATCGCTTGCTCACACTACCACATCGTGAGTCAGCTGGGGTGCGGGTCCCAGCCGTCAGGACCCAGGGTCCCAGCTCCGGGACCCAGGCTGAGGCGGCGGCAGAGGAAGAGGCAGGTGTCGTACCAGCTCCTACTGTTTCTGCCTCTAAGTGCCACTTGCCACTTCCATTCGCGTTTCATTGGCTAAAGCCGGTCAGTCATGTGGTCGTGCCTAATTTGAAAGGAGTGGGGAAGTCTCATCTTTTTTTGCACCAGGAATTTTGGAAAATGGGTTTGATGACTGCTCTTGCTTGAGTCTTTGTCTCAGTGCTCCGCCCCTCCTTTGAGAGGTGCTCCCCCTCCTCCCTTCAGGACAGGGAGCCCTGGGTTCAGTTCTGACCACCTGCTCTATCCTTAGTGACTGGCCTGCAGGGGGCCCCCTTTCCTCCTCTCCCCTCCCTTGGATGTCCTCAGCCCGGGGGCAGGCAGGTGCAGGAGCTTCCCCTGCTCGATGGGGCTGCTCTGGGGCCAGCTTGCCCCTGCCTCTCAGTCCTTCATTCAGGTGACCCCATGCAGGCACCTCGGGCTCAAGTTGTCTGCACTGTGTGTCCATCACTTCCAGCTGAGGAGTGCGCACCCCTGGGGATCTCACCCATGCTTGCATCAGTCACATCTATCACAAGTAATATGCCACCCCAAAACTTGGTGGCTTTGTGTGATAAAATTTCATAGAACTACACACACACACATATAGCATGACGTGCATGTAAAATGGTAAAACCTAAATAAGGTCTCTGCTTAAGTTAATAATATTATATCAAGGTCCACTTCCTGGTTTTTACAACATGCCATGATGATGTAGAATATCGGTTAGTAGGGAGCTCGGTGAAGGGTACGTGAGAAATCTCTACTGTTTTCTCATTGTCTGTGAGTTGTAAACTATTTCAAATTAAAAAGTTATAGTAATAGGACTTCCAGCCTAGATGGAGGCATAGATAGGTACACGTTGCCTCCTCGCACAACCAAAAGAAGGACAACAACAAATTTAAAAACAAAAAACAACCAGAACTGCCAGAAAATCAAACCGTATGAAAAAGTCTAACAACCAAGGAGTTAAAGAAGAAACATTCATTCAGACTGGTGGGTGGGGGGACCGGCAGCCAGGTTGGAGAGGAATTGTGGCACAGTGGTGGCTGGAGGAGTGGTGGTCTCACATTTGCACCTGGGTAAACTGGGAGGAACAACTGGGGAACAAGAGAGACCGTGCAACCCAGGGTTCCAGCATGGGGCAAGAAAGCCTCAAAGACTCTGGCTGGGAGGTATTGTTGGCAGGAGAAACTCCCAGCTTCACAGGAGAGTTTGTTGGAGAGACCCAGGGGGTCTTAGAATGTACACAAACCCTCCCGCCCAGGAATCAGCATCAGAAGGGCACAACTTGCTTGTGAGTAGTGAGGGAAGTGACTGAAAGCTGACAGAGAGCCAGGCTAGCAGCACTGTTCCCTCTCGGACCCTCCACCACATACAGCACCACGACCCAGCAACTTGGGTTGCCCCATCCTGGTGAATACCTAAGACTCCTCCCCTATATAGACTCCTCCCCTATAACAGCTGTGTGGAGACAAAAAACTATGGCCCAAATGAAAGAACAGATCAAAACTCAAAAAATAGAACTAAGCTATGAAAAGATAGGCGACCTATCAGATACAGAGTTCAAAACACTGGTAATCAAGATGCTCACAAAAATGGTTGAGTATGGTTGCAAAATAGAAGAAGAAATGTAGGTTATGAAAAGTGAAATGAAGAAAAATATACAGGGAACCAACAGTGAAGGGAAGGAAGCCAGGACTCAAATCAGCAATTTGGAACAAAAGTAAGAAATAAACATTCAACTAGAGCAGAATGAACAAGAATTCAAAATATGAGGAGAGGCCTAGGAAACTCTGGGACAACTTTAAACGTTCCAACATCCAAATCATAGGGGTGCCAGAAGGGGAAGAGGAAGAGCAACAAGTGGAAAACTTATTTGAACAAATAATAAAAGAGCACTTCCCCAATCTGGCAAAGGAAATAGACTTCCAGGAAGTCCAGGAAGCTCAGAGAGTCCCAAAGAAGTTGGACCAAAGGAGGCACACACCAAGGCACATCATAATTATACTTCCCAAGTTTAAAGATAAGGAGAGAATCTTAAAAGCAGCAAGAGAAAAGGAGACAGTCACCTACAAAGGAGTTCCCATAAGACTACCAGCTCATTTCTCAAGAGAATCCTTGCAGGCAAGAAGGGGCTGGAAAGAAGTATTCCAAGTCATGAAAGGCAAGGACCTACATCCAAGATTGCTCTATCCAGCAAAGCTTTCACTTAGAATGGGAGAGCAGAGAGAGAGCTTCTCAGATGAGATCAAGTTAAAGAAGTTCATCATTACCAAGCCCTTATTATATGAAATGTTAAAAGGACTTATCTGAGAAAAAGAAGGTCACAACTATGAAGAGTAAAATGACAACAAACTCACAACTATCAACAACTAAACCTAACCCCTCCCCCAAACCCAAACTAAGCAAACAACAAGAACAGGAACAGAATCACAGAAATGGAGATCATATGGAATATTATCAGCGGGGTGGAGAGCGGGGAGAGAGGAGGAACAGGTGCAGGGAATAAGAAGCATGAATGATAGGTACAAAATAGGGAGAGGTTTTAAGAAGAGTATGGGAAATAAAGATGCCAAAGAGCTCATATGTATGACCCACGGACATGAACTAAGAGAGGGGAATGCTGCTGGGAGGGGAGGTGCAGGGCAGGGGGGATAAAGAGGAGAAAAAAATGGGACAACTGTAATAGCATAACGAGTAAAATATACTTTAAAAAAGCTATAACAATATGGACTAAATGGCTTAACACCATGCCATGTGTTGAGTTACTTACATTTCTGTTGCTTGGGCAGGGCTCAGTGGGGACACCTTATCTGTTCCCACAGGGCTGGTACGAGCAGCTTCAGTCTTGCCTGTGGTGCACCAGCTGGGGGCTGGCGGGCATCATTCTCCTCTCCAGTGGCGCAGCTGCTTCCTCTTTCCATGGTGGCTCTGAGCCCAAGAGGGTGAGAATAGAAGTGAGAAGGCTCCAAGACCTTGGGCGAGAACTCCAGGGTGTCCCCCTGGCTACGTTTCATTGGCCAGACTCAAGGGAGAGGAAATAGACTGTATCTCTTGATGACAGGAGGGGCAGACAACATGTGGCATCTAACTCATGGCTATCACCAAGGTGTCAGAGGCTTCTGAACCTGCCTCCCGGGGTCCAGTGCAACCTCCACACTCAGGATGTGGATGGAGGCTCGAGGGGGGAGGAGAGTTGACCACACGGCATACAGCCGGCACATGGACTTTGGGGCAGAGCCGGACTCCCAGCCTGGGACTCTTCCAGCTCACCCACAGGAGACTCGCCCCACGGCAGGGCCTAGCGCTCCAGCCTGGCTGCTGCATGGGCTTCTGTTTTGCACACACTGGTGTTTGCAATCAGAAAGTTCAGCGGCCTTTCCAGTGTGCTTAAATTAGTCCCTACAAAAACCAAATCACTTCATTTGCAGCAAAGGGCTTAATTGCAAGGGGAACTAGGCAAAGGGAATTCTGTTGCCTGTTTTCATTGAAGAAAATTACTGTACTTTCCCGGCTCCTCACTAAACAGAAGTTGGTTAGAAATTGGATCATAATCCCCAATCACACCTCTCTCCTCTTTCTTCTCCAGGCCTGTACAGCTCTTGCTTGTTTCTGAGACACGGCTCTGAACTCTTCTTGCTCATCTACCTGGCTGGCCACCCCAGTGCTGGCCTGGAGCTGTGCAGCACTTCCCTGATTTGCTAGAGTCTCACCACAGCCCTGTGAGGTCAAAAGGATCACCCTCAACCTCATGGGGCCTCAGCCGGGGGCTGGCCCACACTGTTGGCAGGAAAAAACATCCCTTTCTTACGTAATCTGTTCTGAGCCCTGATCCACCTCACCTGTGCTGCAGAGACGTCACAGCGCAGACACAGTGCCTTACACAATGCCTGGGGCTTGTCTGGTTCGGTGCCTGGCAGAGGGGAGGGGCCTGCTGTCACGCAGTGCTGCAGGCTGGCAGATCCTCCAGTGTCCCACGTGAGGAAACCCAGCAAAAACCATCTTGGTCTGTGAAGGCTGGTTCCCTCTGTGCTTCTCTGCCTGTGAGCCCCACCCTATTTCAGGCAGTGCAGCCTGATTCCCTCCAGCCTTCAGGGGGAGACGACCCTTCAGAGAGACAGGTAGCAGGCTGGTAACCTGCAGGGGGAGTTACAAGTAGGGAGGTGAAATACATAGCACATCTGGTGTCAGGAGAAAAATAAAGAAGGGCTGGGCCCCAGAGTGTGGGGTCAGGTGCAGCCCCAACTTCAACAGGCATGTGGTCTGAAGGAGAGCAGGGGAGATGGGGAACAGCAGAGTGGGTGGAACAGCAAGTGCAAAAGCTCAGAGGCAGGAGTGGGCCTGGTGAGGGCCAGGGCAGAAAGGCATGGCCTGAGCAGAGTTGGGGAAGCGCAGAAGAGCAGGTAAAAAGAGTCTCCCAGAGCCTCTTCCTCTGGATCAAAGCCTCAGCAGGCTTCTGAGTATGGCAGCCTCTTCTGTTCTCTGGAGAAAAGAAAAGAGCAGGGACAAGAACACAGACCCTAGAGCTTGGCTGTCTGGGTTCAACCCTGGCTTCACCACCTCGCTGACCTCCCTGTGCCTCAGTTCCCCCCCTAAAGGGGATAACAACACACCCACTGCACGGGGCAGTTGTGAGGGTTCAGTGGGCTACAGCTTACTATGAATATGTCGTAATGCTATCACATGTTGGCTAATTTTTTCATTTCTTTTTTTTAATTTTATTTTTTAATTTTTTAAAATTTTTTTTATTGATTATGCTGTTACAGTTGTTCTATTCCCCCCTTCATTCCCCTCCACCCTACCCCCATCCCCACCATTACCCCCACTTTAGTTTATGACCGTGTGTCTCAAGTTCTTTAGATTCTATATTTCCCATACTATTCTTGCCCCCCCATCAATTTTCTATCTACTGTCTATGCTACTTATTTTCTGTACCTTTCCCCCCTTCTCCTCCTCCCACTTCCCTGTTGCTAACCCTCCTTGAGATCTTCATTTCTATGTTTCCACTCCTGATCTAGCTGTCCTTTTAGTTTGCTTTTGTTTTAGGTATGGTTGTTAATAACTGTGAGTTTGTTGTCCTTTCACTGTTCATGTTTTTTAAACTTCTTTTTCTTAGATCAGTCCCTTTAACATTTCATATAATAAAGGCTTGGTGATGATGAACTCCTTGAATTTGATCTTATCTGAGAAGCACTTTCTCTGTCCTTCCATTCTAAATGAAAGTTTTGCTGGATAGAGCAATCTTGGTTGTAGGTCTTTGGATTTCATGACTTGGAATACCTCTTTCCAGCCCCTTCTTGCCTGTAAGGTCTCTTTTGAGAAATCCGCTGACAGTCTGATGGGGACTTCTTTGTAGGTGACTGTCCCTTTAGCTCTTGCTGCTTCTAGGATTCTCTCCTTCATTTTAATCTTGGCTAATGTAATGATGATGTGCCTTGGTGTGTTCCTTCTTGGGTCCAACTCCTTTGGGACTCTCTGAGCTTCCTGGATTTCCTGGAATTCTATTTCCTTTGCCAGATTGGGGAAATTCTCCTTTATTATTTGTTCAAATAAGTTTTCCACTGGTGGCTGTGCCTTTCCCCCTTCTGGTACCCCTATAATTCGGATGTTGGAGCGTTTAAAGATGTCCTGGAGGTTCCTAAGACTCTCCTCATTTTTTTGAATTCTTGCTTCTTGACTCTTTTCTGTTTGGCCATTATTTGCTTTCTTCTGGTCCACTCCATTGATTTGAGTCCCAGTTTCCTTTTCATCGCTATTGGTTTCCTGTGGAATTCCATTCATTTCAATTAGTTTCGCCTTCATATGTTTGTCTAATTTGTGGCTATAATCAACCAGTTCTGTGAGGATCCTGATCACCAGTGTTTTAAACTGTGTGTCTGAGAGTTTTGCTATTTCTTCATCACTTAGATTTATAGGCTCTGGGGCTTTGAGATCTTCTTGAGCCATTTTTGGTCTGTTTGCACCCGTTAAGTATGAGGAGCGGAGCCTTGGACTCCCAGGTCACTGGGTTGTGACTCTGTATGTGGAGGCGGGGTCAGAGTGGGGAAATGGCGTCCCCCTCTGCTGTTTCTAGCAGCTGGGTGAGGAGCAGAGCCTTAGGTTGTTCACCGGGGCAGGGCCACTTAGGTCGCTGGATTATGACGCTGTATGTGGAGGCTGGGTTAGAGCGGGGAAATGGCGGCGCCCTCCGCCACCACTTGCCGCTGGGGCTGCTGGCTCTCGTCCAATCGCCCACTCCCTCGCTTGTCTATCCACACACAAATGTGCGAACGCGCGACCACAGTCAACCCGCAGCCCTGCTTCCTCGCTGTCTCCCTGCGATTGCTTGCTGAGTTGCCCACCAGGTCCAACCCTGCGTCTGGATTCCGCATGCCTGAGTCTGAGTTTTCCTGTGCTACCCCACTCTGCCAGCTGCTGCTTTCGCCCCTCTTACAGGTCAGGCTGAAGAACTTGTTGTTATCAGTCTTCCGAAAAGTTCAGTTTTCTGTGTTCTGGCTATGTTTTCTATTGCTATTATTTAGTTGTCTCTAAACTTGGTTGTGTGAGGAATCACGGTGTCTCCACCTATGCCTCCATCTTGGCGGAAGTCCTCATTTCTTTCTTAATAACTTCCCTGCTGCGGGGATACAGCGACCTGTTCGAGGTCCCAGGCAGTGAAGGGCGGGCTCCCAACTCCACGCTGCCGGTTGCAGCACCACCCCCAGAAAAGGCAGCACCAGGTGGCGATGTCCCCCACCCAACCCCTCTTTTCCCTGGTGCATTGTGGGACCCTTTGGCCAGATTATCTCCTTGACTCTAGAGCTTTCTCTGGGGACTGAGTGGAGAGCTGGCCTAGCTGCCCAGGGGGGGCTGCTTTGGAAAACCTGGGTCACCTCATGGCACCACAGTGCCCTACCCCTTCCCTCTGGGGGAGGCTGACAGGATAATGGATTTGAGTCCACACCCCCGACTCAACAAAGCAATTTTTTGAGGCTCAAAGTCAATGGTATATTAATTAAGGGGAACAGCTGCTACTGCAGTTCTTGTAAGTCAGTGACAAATGGCCATGTTTACCTTTTTCCTGAGCTGAGACTTTGGAAGGTGGCTTGGAGCTCCTGGGTGGACACCAGGGCTGAGGTTTGTGGGTACCACCTCACCTCTTAGCTTCTATATTGGTGCCTCTGGAGCCTACACGCTGTTCACAGGTGTGTGGCCCAGCAAGTGCTTGGAAGGTATGGGTGGGGGGGGGAATAGAAATCTCTCAACAAAGCTCCTACCCAAAGATGCCCTAGGGCCCTGCCTAGGCAGATCCAGCACCCTTCACCCCCCCGTGGCCCTTCAAAGCTGAGATGGCTGCAGAGCTGGGCCTGAGCCTGAGCCCTTTGTGGACGCACCTGCGGCCTTTGTGCCCAGCACTCTGTGGACCATAAAAGGCCTGGCTGGTGGCGGGGCGTGGGGCGGTGGCTTTTGTTATTTCATTTATTTTGATCTCATTCCTGCTCTCCTTAACAGCTTCACAGAAATGGAGCCCTGCATTAGCTCCCTCCCCAGCTCAAGACAAAACACAGTGCAGGGAAAAATCTTTCAGTGAAAAACAGAAAAGGGGAAGAGGGGCTCATTTTCTGCTGTGTTGTTTCTGGGTTCCATTGTCAACTTACCTGCTGAGTGTCCAGCTGATGGGAGAACAGGACAAAGCTCAGGCCAGTCACCACCCACAGGCAGGATGGGTGTGGCTGGGAAGCTCAGAGGCTGCCCTTCTCCCAGGCTGCCTGAGAGGGCAGGGCCCCCTGGATCAGGGTGCCAAGCCCGGATGCCTGCAGCTCTTGCCCCACACCTGCTGTGCCCCAGGGTAGGGGTGGTGCCGGAGGACTGGACTAGGCAAACCTCTGCCCTGCAGGTGTGGCCCCCAGGCTGCACTTCCGTTCCCCCAGTGGTGGGCCTCCCGAGGAGA